ACATAGCATGCATGCGCGATTGTCACAGAAATACAAGCATTCACGCTTCGTCAGTTAACTCAGCCATTATTATAGTGATGATCATTGGATTGTTTTGTTTTCTCTGTTCTCCTTTGTAACGAATTAAAGGATATTGTTGGTATAATGATAGTGTATAGTGTACAAACCAACAAGCAACCACAAGAAAAAAAAAATTCTTTTTTTTTTTTTTTTTTTATGTTAATTTTATGAATGAATTTTTGTTTTTCACTTTTTATTGCTTTTTAAAGACCGGAAATACGCACAGCCGCTGTATAGGAATTTCGAAATAATAATAATTGTTGTGTAAGTGTGTGTAAGTATTGAAAGCAGAAAAGCAGAGAAAAAAACTAAACACCTTTCATATTATAAACGCAATACACTAAGTAAATATATATATATATATATATGTTCTTATTAGCTTAAAAAAAAAAAAATTCTTTTTTCTTTTAATCTTTGGCTTTTAATTACTATTTTAATTAAGAAATGAAACTTTTTTTTTTTTTAAATCAACCGTCATAAGAGTACGTAGGCTGGAAAGGTTTTTCTTTTTTTTTTTAATGTTTTTTTTCTGTTTTAAAAAAACTCACTCTCGCTCAACTTTAAAAACCGCTATAAACATTACTAACGCTATTAACGCTTAGTTGTTCGCGTTCGTTTAACAACTGTTCAAATTGGCATTAACGCTGCGTTGGCTTACCAACAATATATTAAACCCAGTCAGCTAACCAATACAATCGAACCAACAAAATCAACTGCTGCCTACTTCTAACCGACTTGTTGCTTCATGTATTATGTATGTATAAAACCAAAAAAAAAAAAAAAACAAAAAAAAAAAGACAAAAAACAATTCTGTTTGTTCAGAAAGCAAACAACAACAATAAATAAACCGAAACAATATATAAGGAAGCGGTCGTGGTATGATTGCAACCATTTGCACAGCCCACGTTTTTCTTTCTTTTTCAATGAATTCATTCAAGAAATTTGTCAAGCGTCACCGGTCCAAATAAATGCAAGTCTGATGTCAAACAATAATTTTTGTTTCGATTCTTCCGAAATGCAATATGAAAACAATCGACTGTAATCATCATCATATTACGTGTTCCCCCCTCCCTTCCTCTTCGCATACTTCCTATTTATCTTTAGTGCCCGCAAACGGCTGTTTGCTTTCGTTTTCCGTGCATGAAACCTTTTGCACATTTTGCTATTACGCATGGATCACCACTTGACTTGCGCCATTAAAAATATTTCTCCAGAAGCTTTTTAAATTTTCTAACAACAAAAAAACAAGTGAAAATAATATAGTGAAACACGGCCCACCATTAAATATCCTACACCACTTCTCAAAATAAAGCTTCATATGCTTCAAGTGGTACGATCGCAACCATTTTTCGTCCTTGGGCCAAATTACGTTCTATTGGTTATATTCAAGAACGCATGGCCAGATATCAGACGGAGTGGTCGACGGAAAAGTTTAAATCCATTCAGCAAGTAATTCCAAAAAGAATCGGCAAAATAAAAGGTGAACTTTTCTCAAGTCCTCCTATACATTACATACATCCGCAGAAATTTAACATTATTTAACCTTATGGTCCAAGTGATCTATGAAACAAATAGAAATTAATTTAACATTTCGAAAATTCTTCTAACAATAGGATAAGCATTGCGCACATATGGACATATGGACATATAGAGCTACATAAACCGCTATAGGCGATATAATGAGAATGAACTTTTTGAACTGAAATTCCTTTAGGAACCTCCAAAGGAACCTTAAAACGCTTGGGTTACGTATAGTGAGCCATGGTCTACCATTACATAGCTTACGCTACCTCGCTTAATACATTTGTTAATTTAACGGCTTTTCAAAATAAGGTATTACATGGGAAGTAGTCGAAAAAAAGGCCCAATTAGAGCCATTTGCAATAGCATTCGTTCATGAGCCAAAACGCCGAATTGCGTCCTATTGGTTAAACACAAGAACATGGCATGGCCAGATATCAGACGGACGGGCGGACAGACAGCCTTAGATCGATTAAGTAGCATTATCTACCGCCTTGTATGTCTGTCTGTCTGATACTGATTTGTATAATAAAATCTGGGTCTATCTCAAGTCCTTTTGCGCGTTGCATATATCCGCACGAATTTGATATACACTTATACCACAAGTGGTGTAGGTTAAAAGATAATGTAATAATACAACATAGTAGATATATTTATAAGTAATATTTTCGAATTTTATATTATACGTTGCGGTGTTTAAAGTTTATAGAAATGTATGGAAATTTTGAAATTATTCCAATCTTTAATTAAATGTGGAATGTTTTGAAGGGATAGATCTATACCTATATCTTTTGTATAAACTTTTGAAGACATTTAGTCTTTTCGCATGGAATTTGGATCATATTGCACCATATTGGACTATTTTATAGACCTTTTCCTGAATAAATTTCTTATAAAAAATAAGTCTTCTTATGATCTTTCCCAGCTTCAACTTGTATTTTTTTTTTAAGGGAATGAAGAGTTATTGCTGATGTTTAGCCAACACTAACGCGAGTATAGATGATTTTCAAAACCTAAGTCTGCAGTTCCATTTAATGGTCAAACTAACGGCAAGCAAGCACAAACCCCGACTTTAAGGTGGACGGCGACCAAACTTATTCGCAGCAGTTTCAGCCTAGAAATCAATATTTGTATAACGTCTGGCTGTGGATACAATTACGGATTAAGGCGAGATTATCTAATTGGGATCCTAGCAAGATTGGCAGTTTGAAATTGTTCTTTCCTTAAGTAAGGGGCTTTGCTTCATTTAAGTTTCCGATGCCGACTAATCTGTACAATATTATATTGGATAAATGCTTTTGGCCTGTTGGCGGTCTCGTACGGCATTTTACGGTTCAGAAAACGAAAGGACTCTAGATTACTTCTTTATCAAAATGTTTGCTGTCTGATCTCGTAATTATCGATAGTCCTTCTAAAGTCTGCTAACTGTAAATTTCATATAACTGTGCTACGGGGAAGATGGATGTTCTAAAGAAGTTTGTCAACATGGAAGGAATTACAGTGTTCACTTAACTCTTCTTAGCGTTACTTAGCGTATTTTTAATATTTTCATGGTTCTGCTTAATGTTATTGTAATATGCTTGAGAAGTTGATTTTTGAAAATGTAAAACATATTAAAGCATATAATATTTTTTTAACGTCTTTCACTAACTTAACTAAATTACTGGTTGCTAGTGCTACTTAGTTTTAAGGTCATTATACCTATTTAATTAAATACTTTGTATACAGTTTGTCTCTTCACTTTTGTTTTATATTACTCATGTATTCTCATTGTTATGCTGAATGCTAGAACAGTTAATGGTTATACTTTAAGATAAATATGTTATAGCTCGGCTGGCGTTGTAAGTGTGTAGCTGAATTTTCTTGTGTGGAGTAAATAAATGAAATAGTCGACCTAGAAAGTGCAGAACCGTAAAGAGAATATCAGGATATTATTTTCGGTGCTAATGTTTGTTAGTGAGAGCGAAAAGAAGTGCGTAAGCGCGGGAAAATGATAAATCTACCAAAATCTGGAAGAACCCTGCAGCTTATGGATGTAACTAAAGTAAATAAATTCTTAAAAATATTGCTTTTCTCATTACTATGGGGGCGCTATCGACTCCTTAGTAGAAATAAAAATAATTTGAGTTCCGTTTAATTGCAATTTTTTTATGCACTGACTTACAAATGAACAAGAGAGAGTTTTCAGTAGTATATATATTTCAATATATCATATATTTTATCGTCAAATAATTTAAACCCATATTTAAAGTCCTGAAGAGAAATTTAAAATTATAATGCAAGAAATCATAGCTGATATCTTAAAGAAAATTATTCCGAATCTCTCGGCATCTTAAAGTGTAGGGATCTTGAATTTCCACACATTTAAACTTGAACTCGAAACTTTTCTCAGTAAATGTAGGATAGACTTAATAATTTTATATATTCGTCAGTTTGTATACTACCTATTTACTTACTTAAACATCGTATATGTATACACTCCGAATGGCAAGAATAACCTCTAACCATCAGCAGACCTAATTCAAAACAACTAGCCAAAAAAAAAACCCTAGCAGACCAAGGCGCACTTGAGAAGTGGTTGAAAAAGTGATCCGATCTCGTTTACAGTAGTGTTCGTCGTTGTGGCAAAAAACTTTAGTGTACCAAATTTCATCAAAATACCTCAAATTGGCCAGAATAACTTAATGGAATAGTAAAAGGCGGGACCATCTCATATCTTTCCCAAACATACAGAACCGCACAAACTGAATGCTACCCTTAGTGAGGTGGAAAATAACATGAAATTTTCAAAAATATCATATATAAAATAAATGGAAAAATTTTCTAAAAAAATTCATTCAACAATTTTTTAAGATTTCAATTCTTTGATTTAAAAACGAAGAGAAAAATTATCTTCATAAATTGGAAGTCGCGCGTCACAGCTTCTGATTCATTCGAATTAATAAGATTTAGTTTAAATCACGCATACGCAACTTCATGTCGAACATCAAACATGCTGCACTTGAGTGCAGAAAAATCTCTTTTAGAGATTAGAAGCATAATGAAATGTAATCAATCTTAATGAGAAAAGTATAAGCTCAGATCAATCAATCATTGCTACTAATATAAATCACAAAATTTCAAAAGTATTGCACACTTATCTAATCACTCACTCACCTTGATAAAGTAGAATAAAAGAAAAAAAAATGCTTTTTTTAGTTATGAAGACATATTTTAGAAAATTATTTCGTGAAAGAATATATCCCAAGAGATTATTTCTCACATCATCAGTACATATTTTTTTCCTTTAAGGAAAGAAGTTTTCTTAAATCACACCATATTTAGATGAAGACACAATCCGTTTGCAAAAAAATTATATTCGTGTTAAGACGAATCTTGAACACCCACTACAAAAGATAAATAGATGGAAATTAATAATAATGAGGTTACCACTATTACAACCGCTATTTGCAACCACTTTAAATTTCTCTAGTAAATGGTAATCCAATCGTCTATTTCGTCTAAATTATTTTAACATATATTTTCAAAAATTTTGTTGTTGCTCCTTTGGACAAAAAAAGATAGTTTCAATTCTTCTTCGAAACTGGTTTGGGTAAATTAAGGAATAGTTGAGCTTAATTTTTAAATCAATTGTTTCGATTTTCATAACTTCCATAATAGAGAAAGCGATACAAGTGGACAGGTTGACATGGTTATATTAATCCGGAACTTCATATTTGCAATATATAAGCGGATGGCTACGTCTGCATTCCTCATGGCTCATATTTATGGATGTTACAATCGGAATGACGAAATTAATAGTCCACCATTCTCCAGTAGTAGGTATGAAAAATTTACTGTTGCTAATATGCGATCATGAAAATATTTAAGAAATTGTATGCTGCTTACTAGGTCATCGCGTGCATTGTCGTCATCGTTTCAGTAACACAACACACTAAACCATTTAAGGATAGTTGAAAAACAAGCTTATTGTGAAAATGCATTTCACATCAACTTGGAAAAGTCATTATGTGTTTTCTTTACACTGTCGAACTGCTGGCTGCATTTGACTCAGTTGGCTCGGCTTTAAACTGTGACGATTGTGTAAGGGAGGCAGGTATGTTTAAAGACTGCAATTTTTAAAGCAAAAGTGAGCTTTTCTTAAGTTTATTGAAATCTTCATTATATTTATAAATTTACCTTCCCTGGACACGCCGCTTCATATTGGTGTTTTAAGCTTTCCAATTCATACACACAAGTAGATAAAGCTGTACGCAGCTCACACAATAACACCATATCAGACCGCAGGTCATTGAAGGAATTACATATCTCCTCAGTAGGAGGAGGTGAGGGATCTTCGTTATAGAAAGATTAATTTTTTTATTGCAAACATCATTTATGATTATTTCATTGTACTAACCAACTTTAAATTCCTGTATAGCTTGTTCCAAAGCCTTTACCTTACGTTGTCCTATATTGGCAGGTAATTTCATCTTTTGTGATCTCAATGAAACTCCTGAACCTCTAAGATCTGCAAACTTAATGCCACTGCCCCCAATTTCTATGGCGTTCACCACTGAATCGACCTTGGAAGGTCTGGGTTGGTGATGTAATTTTTTTTTGTGCAATTTCTTTTCATACTTCCGAGCGCTTTGGGCGTTAGCGGCAGCATCGCCTTGTTGATCGGCTTGTGATATAAGTTTTTGCAGATCTTGCGTCTTACGTTCACGTTCCTTCTTACGTGCTTCAATCTTTCGTAATTCATTGAGTAGATTTTGTTCTTCTTTCACTTGTTGACTGGTGCGTTCGAATAGTTTTTTTAATTGCTCTTTGCGACGGCGTTCGTGTTCTATATCAAACACAAAAGATTTCTTATCGTTACCGGCCGTTCCCGCCTTCGACTTGGATAATAAGCCAATTATTTCATAATAACGTTCTTTGAGATCTTCCACGGTTTTAATACCATATTGGGTACGATCCCAACGATCGGCCATGATAATAAAACGTAAATCAAATCTATATCATAAAGATTATTTAAATCAGACACGCGATTTATGCAAACACTTTTGTCCCTTACCTTTTGGCTAAGTCAAATAAATGATCCGTTTGCTCTTTGGTCCATTTCTGTGGATTAGTCTGCAGATGTGCATTGTATTCGGCCAATGTGTATTCCGGTATTTGTAGATGCTTATTAAATTTAGCAAATGGGTATTCTTTGGGCTCGTCACTTAAACGTCTCCAATGATGAAAAACGGCACCGTCCGTTCGAGCTAAGTTGGTGAATGGAGCCCATTCCCACTTACGTACTTTCTTCATGCCCAAACGAGCTTTGACTTGCTTATATCCCGAACCGATGCCCAAAGCCGTATCAGTAGGCAGTAGCGGTGGAGCATCCTTATTGTCATTGTATAGCAAAGCAAATACCTCCCGATGCATGCCCTCAGGACGTTTAGACGGGCCTTTAGTTCTAATATATCAAAACAAAACATATTTTTAGAATATTTTTGAAAGTGTGTAAGATTTGCTTTACCTTTCAAAATTTCTTTTCTTTGTAACCAGAAAAGATTCTCGGCTAATTTCAGGAGTCATGGGACGCTCAATGTCCAAAATATCGCGGACGTCTGCAGTCATTTTGTTTGTTATTTAGATTGTCAATTATTAAGAATTTTTTTGCGCATTCCACGAATAATAACAATTTCCGAAAAGTTTTAATTCTATCATAGAAGTTTTTGTGACAATTGATGTTTACGAGTATCGCGTGAGATTGTCAGGACAGAATTGCAAATCATTAAATAAATCGCAAGTGTTTCATTTTACACGTTTCAAGCAAAAAGCTAGAGAAAATCGCAATTACTATCCGTAGCGAAACAATAATATCTTATCTTGATATCGCTATTCAAGAACTCACCCGCATTATTTGCGGAAATGCAATAAATTACAAATGCAGAAAGCTTTTTTTCTTGGTCTGTTTAGACGAAAGGATTAAGACTGTTGACGTTAAGACCAATATATCCAGTTACCTAATAAGTTGAGTTTTTGTTGATCCTTTGCTTTAATTTTCTCGATTTTATTGACGTTGTTGGTAGTTTAATTTGGTTCTTATTCTTCTTCTATTTTAATTGTGAATCTAATTTGTTACGAAATTTTTCTTCAATTTTTTCTTAGTTGAGTTATAAGTTGAAGTATGCTTTTGCCAAGGATTAAAACTGAGGCGCCTTTTTTTTAAAAAGTTTCTTCCGCTGCCAATAGTGACTATAATTTGAAAGTTAAAACTTCAGTAAAATTTTCAAGTTCAAGTTTTAATTGCAAGATTGCAATAGCCTTGATTTTTAAGAGAAGAAACAAGGAAAAGGAAATCTTAACGAAAAGACTTTCAAAAAATTGCAAATATTTTGTTTCGTCATTCCATCCTATTAACAAATGGATACCATGAGTGCTGTCTCACCTAGTTTCCATTCTATCTACATATATAAGTTGCTAGCGGCATTTAAAAATATCAAAAAGACTTTCTATACAAGTTGCAGAATGCACTATATACAAGTTGCCTGAGATTTATAAACAAGTTGAGGTATTTTTTTAAAAACACAACAAAACTGGGACATATGGAAACGGGAGATTAATTTATATAGCTATAAGCTTGACAACTCTACTTTGCTACACGTGCAATTATTTTGTTTTATGTTATTAGAAATTTTTTTTACCGTCTATCATCTGATTCATATGGTCGATTTTTGCTTAATGCATTCCTTGGTCTAGAAGAAAAACCGTTCGATCTATATGAGGTAAACGAATTGGAAAGACCGGAACCACACCATTACGTTTCAGCCCAAAAAGAAAAAAAGTTGACAATCAATAAAGACTGTTAGCAAAACCACATTTACAAAAACACTTGGCCATTGCTTTAACTATATTGATCTAATTCGAAAAGCATTCCAAATGGAATTCAATGTAAAAAAATTGCTTCATAATGTGCAATGGCTCCTGTCCATACTGCCACCAGATAAAAACAACACTAAACTTGTTTACTTGGAAAAGTTTATAAAGACTAAAGTAAGTATAAAAAATGAAAGTGATACGTATTTAATTTCTAATATATTTAAACAAAAATATAAATTAAATTGAAGGAATGCAACACTGAAGAAGTGAAACTTTTAATGGAGTGCTTAAGTGAACTTTTGCTTGATGAAACCTTCATAGAATCCATTGCAATATCCTTTGAAGATTGCTTGCTACTTTTAGTCTCCAATACGTTTGGTGGTAACGTTGAAGATACAGTGAACGTTAATAATTTTGCAGAATATCAAAGGAAATCTTTAGCTCTTGCGAAGCTGATGCATCTTTCCAACGATGTGAAGCAGTAAGTTAGGAAATTAAATGCAATATTTATGTTCTCACATATTCTGTTTAAAGATATGCCTTGAAATACTTTCTTAACAAGCCACCACCGTTTTCATCTGCTGCGGATTTGAATCAATCTTTGCCCAATAAAAAGTCCAGACCTTTGCCGATTAAACCTACATCCTTCGATATTGTTAAATGTTGTTATCGGTTGTTGAAAGCAGATATCGATTACTTTAAAAATTTATGGAATTGGTCAGAGTTTGTGGACAAACATTTAACTGAGAAGTTTTTCAGTAAAAAAGGAAACCTTCAAGACGTATATATCAACCATATTTTAGCGTTTTTATGCGGTATGAATTCTATGCAACTGCGACAATTGAATCTTCGTATAGCTGTAAAATATTTAATTGAATTCGAAGAACATAACAAGCTAACTTTGAAAAATTGGAGTTACAAAGAATCTGGACATGATACGATAACTTTGCCTTTACAGAGTAGCTTTGTTTGCAACGTCGAAGGCGTGCTTTTATCCGTATTCAACAAAGAAAACTATGATTACTACGATAATTTTCAGGACAGCATGGTTAAAGTTGATTCCACAAAAGCAAATTTACGTAGCATAGCTTTGGGAGTCGCCAATAGTAAGGCTATTTGCTTATCAGGACCTGTTGGATGTGGCAAAACAACGCTTGTTGAATACTTGGCACGTAAAACAGGAAGATTGACTCCAAAAATTATTGACGTTGAAGAAAATGATGAAGAAAATACTTTTGATGAAAAAATTGACGTAAAAGAACTGGAAATAATCAAAGCAGGATTTAAACGTAAATCGTTAAACTTATCGAAGGGCACGCACTCACAAGATAGGATTTCTAAACGATCGGGGGAAAATGGATTCTTACGTATCCAACTAGGAGATCAGACCGATTGCAAAATGCTATTAGGTCAATATCACTGTACAGATGTGCCGGGAGAATTCGTATGGTTGCCAGGAGTATTAACGCAGGTAAGCCTTAAGAATCAAAATACACAATGCAATTTATCCAATGTCATCTCAGGCAGTTATGAATGGCTATTGGTTGCTTTTGGAAGATCTGGATTCTGCTACTCAAGACACTTATACGGTTTTAAGCAGCTTATTGGAAAATAAATGCCTTAGTGTCCCGGGATTTTCTGATTGCGTCAAAATAGCTCCGGGTTTTCAACTCTTTGTAACGGTCAGGTTCGAGCCTTATACTAATTACTAGCAAATTCATTGATAATATTTTGCTCTTTTTAGAACTCTGAAGTCATCCTCTTCAAATACTGCCCAAAAAGCTTTACTCTCGTTCTTGGAAAAGTATCTCTATACTATTAATATATTGCCTTTATCACGCAATGAATTGTGTAAAGTTGTTGCCTCCAATTACCCGAAATTAAGTACAATCGCAAACCGCATCGTAGATGTATTTCTTATTTTTTCCAGCGGCGATCACAGTGTAGCCGACAATTTACGTCAACAAGAAGCGAATGACAAAGCGGATACCACCGACCATTACTTACAGTTGCCCTACGATGAAATATCCATATCCTCAATTTCTAGTTCGGGCCGTATGGTATCCACACGCGATCTGATTAAATTATGCCAGAGATCGAATCCCACTTTTTCGGTGACTAGTACTGAGTGTGCGTATTTTGTCTTCCAGAATGCTGTAGATGTATTTTGCTCATATATACCGCAAAGTCGGGAGAAAGCAAAACTTATAACAGCTATTGGTGCCAAACTAGGTATAATACAATCACGCTGTGAGCATTTGGCGAATGAATATAAGCCAGAAATAAAATTGAGTAAGGAATACATTAAAGTAGGCAGAGCTGAATTACAAACCCGTAAAGGAGTTGTTGACATCGTCGACGATGACACGTCTGTATCCGAACGTTTAGAAAATCAAGCTTTTAAACGTATGAAACTTATGAATAGCAGAGCAAAGGATTTAGGTAAAGCCGATAAAAAGACTTCAAGTACTTTTTCGTTTACTCGTTTGGCTTCATGCATGCTGGAACGTATAGCCGTTTGCGTGCAGCAAGTTGAGCCTGTATTGCTTGTGGGTGAAACAGGCGTAGGGAAAACGTCTTCCGTCCAATATTTAGCTGAGCGCACCAAACACAAGCTGATGGTGGTTAACATGAACAATCAGTCCGATGTCTCTGACTTGATAGGCGGCTTTAAGCCAGTGGATCTCTCCTATGTTGTATTGCCATTGCGTTCAGAATTTGAGTTTTTGTTTCGTCACACTTTTAATGCGACTAAAAATGAATCATTTCTTACCAAATTTAGTATATGTTACAATCAAGGTAACTTTCCAGTGATCGTCAAACTAATGTTGAAAATTGTCAATTCGGTGTTTGAAAAAGCTGAACGTAATGAATTGCGGGATAAAGATCTGAAGCTGATTCCACGTTGGCGTTGCTTAAAAATCAAATTGCAAAAGCTTTGCAATCAATTAAACAAATCTATAAATATATCTTTCGCATTCATCCCAGGCTCGCTAGTGAATTGCATTAAATTCGGTGATTGGGTGTTACTTGACGAAATTAACTTAGCTTCAGCCGAGACTTTGGAATGTTTATCCACCATTTTAGAACCCGATGGTTCGGTAGTATTGTTGGAAAAAGGCGATTTTACTCCAGTGAAACGTCATCCCGATTTTCGTATATTTGCTTGCATGAATCCAAACACGGATGTGGGGAAAAAGGATTTGCCAGTAGGTATTCGTAATCGTTTCACGGAATTTTATGTCGATGAGATAACTTCAGAAGCAGATCTTCGCTTACTGGTTTCGGATTATCTTAGGGCTACTGGCATTCAGAAGATTCAAACTATTACAAATATTGTGAAGTTATACATAAAACTAAAGCAATTAGCTCAATTAGAACTAAACGATGGTCTTGGCAACCGGCCAGTGTATTCTTTGCGTACTCTTTGCCGTTCGCTAAATATTTGTGCACGTAATTTATGCGGCTCGATAGAGCGCAATCTGTACGAATCACTCAGTTTAAGTTTCCTTACTCAACTGGATTCGAACTCGCACAATACGGTGCTACAGTTAATTCAGACAAGAATGTTAAGTGACACGAAAGCTATACTCAAACAACAAATACCTAAGCCAAGCGATAGTTGCCTTAACTTCGAAGGCTATTGGATAGAAAAGGGCCCCAAAGAATTACAAGAATGCAGTAACTACATCTTAACAGAAAGCGTACGGAATAACCTTAAGGACCTAACTCGTATTATTTCCATAGGCAAGTTTCCGGTCCTTTTACAAGGTCCAACCTCCGCAGGTAAGACGAGCTTAATTGAGTATGTAGCCAAACGTAGCGGTAATTATTGCTTACGTATCAACAATCATGAACACACCGACCTACAGGAATATATAGGTACTTATACAGCTGATACGACGGGAAAGTTAACATTCAAAGAGGGCGTATTGGTTCAGGCAATGCGTCAAGGGTATTGGATTATTTTGGATGAATTGAATCTTGCTTCCACGGAAATCTTAGAAGCTCTTAATCGAGTCCTCGATGATAATCGTGAGTTATTTATACCAGAGACACAAACAATAGTAAAAGCTCATCCGAACTTTATGTTATTTGCTACCCAAAATCCTCCCGGTTTATATGGTGGACGTAAGGTTTTATCAAGGGCATTTAAGAATCGTTTTATTGAACTGCACTTTTCCGAAATTCCGCGTGCGGAATTAGAAGTAATTTTAGAGAAACGTTGCCTAATACCAGCTTCGTATGCTCGTAAAATGGTAGCTTGCATGGCTGATTTGCAAAAAAATCGCAAAACTACATCGAAAAATATCTTTACATTGAGAGATCTCTTTCGTTGGGGTAATCGTTATACATGGGCGGATAAGAAACTCTTAGAGGATCCAAAGTACGATTGGAATCAACATTTAATAGAGGAAGGATATTTAGTATTGTCGTCGAAAGTGCGCAGCGATTTGGAATTGCAGATTATCGCAGAAGCGCTTTACAACAATTTTAAAAAACGGATCGTACTTTCGAAATTATTTAATATCGATTCAGATTTGAAAGAAGAATCGGCTGTAACAAGAGATATTATCCGAGAACTAAGAAATTATAGAGATCGTGCCGATATAGTATGGACTCGGAATATGACTCGTATGGCTGTTTTAACCGCTAAAGCATTACAATTCAATGAACCGGTATTACTTGTCGGTCCTACAGGTTGTGGTAAGACCACGGTCTGTCAGTTGTTAGCAAAAATTCACAATGTCAAATTACGCATACTCAACTGTCACATGCATACGGAAGGTGCTGACTTTTTAGGGGGGCTGAGACCCTGCCGTCAAAACGATAATGACGCTAATGACACAGCATCCAGCAAACTTTTCGAATGGTCTGACGGTCCTTTAATACATGCTATGCTGGAAGGTTCCTATTTTATGGCAGATGAAATATCTTTGGCCGAAGATTCGGTGTTGGAGCGTTTAAATTGTGTTTTAGAGCTTGAGAGAACCGTATTGTTGGCAGAGAAAGGAGGAATAACAACTAGCGAAAGTACAGACGAGAAAATTTGCCAAGAGTTTGTGATACAAGCTCGGGATGGCTTTCAATTTCTAGCTACTATGAATCCTGGTGGAGATTTTGGGAAAAAGGAGCTTTCGCCAGCCTTAAGAAATCGTTTCACTGAAATCTGGTGTCAACCATCAGATACAAAAGAAGATCTGATACAGATCGCCAACAATTGCATGCAACAACACTTACTGACGATAGAAGAGAAAAACGAGGCTTTGACAATGGCCCAATATATAGTGGAAATAGTCTTGTTTATTCGGCAAAAAGTGGAAAAGTTTAAGTTCTCTATACGAGATATCTTAGCTTGGGCTAACTATATCGTCAATAATAATCAATTAAGCTTTGGCGAGAAAGCATTTTTTGGCCTAGAAACCATATTTTTGGACGCTCTAGAAATGTTGTCATTTGAAAGCTTAAAGAAAATAGACGAGCTAAGGTCTCAAATTATAAACGAAGCATTAAACCAAGCCGCCAAAATATTAAAAAAACACGTAACACTAGAAGATTTGCTTGAGAAGAAAGGCAACCACGTAGAATATGTATCGCATCAAAAATTCGGGATAAAACCTTTCTTCATACCAGTGAATACACTTTCCAGCGTAAAGGCAGACGAACACTTTTTATTTGATGCTCCTACCACTAAGAAAAATTTATTTCGTCTACTTTCTGCCTTAACGCTGAAAAAACCTATTTTATTGGAAGGACCACCCGGTGTGGGTAAAACGTCTATTGTAGAAAGTATTGCTCAAGCAATAGGCTTTCAAATCGTGCGCATTAATTTATGCGAACACACCGATCTGGCCGATCTTTTTGGTACCGATTTGCCTGCAGAAGATAATATTTTATATGCAGCTAAAGATCAAGAAAGCGAAGTCGTACAAATGGGTTCCTTTGTCTGGCGCGACGGACCTTTACTAGCTGCTTTAAAATCAAAAAACACTTGGATTTTATTGGATGAATTAAACTTGGCTCCGCAATCCGTTCTGGAAGGTCTAAATGCCATTTTGGACCACCGTGGCGAGGTCTACTTACCTGAACTTAACAAAACTTTCATTTTACCAGAACAAACTCGTATATTTGCTTGTCAAAATCCCCTAAAACAAGGCGGAGGGCGTAAGGGATTACCACAATCATTTTTGAATCGTTTCACTAAAGTTTATTTAAGGAAATTAACTTCAGAAGATCTATTGCATGTAATTAATCAGAGATATGCGTCTTCGTTTCTGGACTTAAAACAGCGATTTATTCAATCAATCTCACAGGCAAACAATCTAGAAAATTGCAATCTTTTCGATGCCTATGATGCTTTGAAGAATAATCAACTGTTGACAAATTTGGATTCCTCTGATCTTACTCTGACATTTGACTTAGCATTAAAAATGGTTCGTTTCTCTGAATTGCTCGATCGTGGTCTTTTAGCCATGGAATTCGGTTATAAAGGCGGACCTTACGAGATAAATTTACGTGATATCTTACGTTGGTGTGATTTGCTGATACATCCTCAAACTTGTTACTGTCCGCAGCCAGGAAAGACATTCGTAGAGTGTTTTGATGAATTCCTGTTAACGGTTTACGAACGCATGAAATTGGTTTACTATCAACGTATGCGTTGCGCTGCAGATAAGGCATTTATACGTAATGCTTTTGCCCAAGTCTTTAAATGCGATGTTGATCATTTGAATTCTCAGTCAGAGGATGTGGCTTTGTACTGGACATCTCAAAAAATCTACTTAAACGATATCGTAATATCACGGGAGAGTGCAAACAAAACACAATCGTTACATTCATTGCAAGGAAAGCAGTTTTCGCCTTTATTATTGACATCACAACGTGAAGTTTTAAAAAATATCATCGAATGTGTTCACATGGAGAAGCCAGTACTTGTATGTGGCCCGACAGACGCTGGCAAAACAAAAGTTATCGATGTCTTGTGTACCCTAACAAATCAAGTGTGCAACACAGATGCTATAGATGATTCCGTAACGGGAAGTTTCCAACAGGTAAGGAATTTTAATGCATTTTTCTTTCAGATAATTCGTTCTTTATAAATAATTTGCAATTTTAGATTGACTTGAATCGCCATTTGGAAGAAATTTCCAAACAAGTGGAGCAAATTTATCTAAGATGCGTCCAAAATTCTTTACTAAATGGAAAAGACGAATGTAAAAAAACTTTTACACAATTATTGAATTCGTGGAGTTCATATAATCGCACAACTTCAACTAAATGTAGTAAGTTCACCTACACTGTTATGTTCGTCTTTTTTCCCTATTTATAGTTCGTAATCAAAAATTCCATTTAATTTCAAAATACTCAAATTTTCTAAATGACCGCTTTTTACACTAGTGAGACTAAATTCTGAAAATTCGCACCCGATATTTCGTACTTTTCCATATATCTGATCATACTACAATTTTGCATCCATCTCCGGTTCAGTTTGGATCCTCCCTTTAGCAAAATGCATCGAAGTCATTTTTGTCCTGCATATACAAAATGGTGGATTATTCTTGTTTTAACAATCCCCTTGATATGGATGTTAAATAAAAGGGTTTGAAGAATAGAATACGGATTGTAAAAAGAAAACTAGTAAAAACACTATAATGGGACAGGAGCCACCGCTCAGTACTCAGTACTACTCATACAATGATTTTTCAATATATGATGTCATGTGAGAAGGGGTCGATAAATTGATCCGATCCAAACCATATTCAATAGCTTTCATCCTAGGGGCCAAAACATGTCGTTATACCAAGTTACACCAAAATATCTCAAATACAGCTACCTGTAGGCCGAACAAGAAAACGACGCATACAAAACATGAGGCGGACATACAAGCTCAAATTCAATTCACATTGGATCGATCGGTGTGATAAAAGGACCTAACTCAAGTTCTTCTGCATGTTGCACATATCCAGACAAACTTAATATAACCTTGTACCATAAGTGATTTGGGGTAGAAAAATAATATATATAAAATGAGAAATTTTTTTATATAGCATTTTACTTTTATAAATTAAAAGGTCGAAAACAATTTTTGCCAGAAACATTTTCATGTATGCATAAAAGCTTCTGGGGCGTTTAAAATAAATCGTCTCATGTACACTCATATATAGGTAACCGCAGGTAAAAATTTACTTTTTAATTTCCGGTTCATGAAAATAAAAGCAGTCAGGAAAATTTTTATTATTATTCGCACAATGTATTTGGACCAAAGAGATAAATTCTAGTCGTAAAGTCACTACGAACTAGGATTATATACAAGTTTTTACTTTTGAAATTTCTGTCTTTTATTTATTTAGATTTTCGCGACACTGCCATCTCTGAAGAGTTATCCATTTTCCGCGAACGTCTTAAAAAAATGCAAAGTCTTATAGGAATTCTATTTGGATATAATTCAGACAATAAAACTGCTTTACAAATTCTCTGCGAAGAAGAGAAGAAAGTCGATTTACTTGGTAGATATTTGGAAAATGCCAATAGCCTCAACACAGGCGGTCACTTTGAGTGGGTGGATTCAAAAATAGTAAAATCACTGAAATATGGTCAGCACTTGGCTTTAGAACATGTTAACTTGTGTTCGTCGGCCGTTTTAGATCGTTTAAATCCCGTTTTTGAACCAAAAGGCAAATTATTAATATCCGAGAAAGGTGTTAACGCTCGCAGCGAATCAGCGGAAGTGGTAAAAAAAGGCAAAAACTTTCGTGCTTTCCTTACCATAGATCCTAAAAATGGTGAACTTTCACGGGCTATGCGTAACCGATGCATTGAATTATCTTTAAATAGAGAAACATACGATTTAGATGATAAACGTATGATTGTTTACGCTCAGGGAGTATCCGATATCAAAGCAATAAACACTGTGATAGCGATACATGAGAGCATTGCCAAGTTAACGGAAATTAACAATTATAGCGTTTCACATCTTACTAAAATGGCGTTTTTGACAGCAGCGTATCATCACATCGGTTACGATTTGGAAAGAGCTATTTATGTTAGTGCTATGGAAGTATATGTGTATTCAGCTAATACGGACTTAATCGGATATGGTTTAGTTTATTATCAGCAACAATTACGCGATATTGTTTTAAGAGAATCACAAAAATATGGATCATTATCTAAGCAATATCAAGAAGACTATCTGCGATATGTGACGCTATATAGCGAAGGCTTAAGTGAAGCCGAAATGGTTAATTTGCAGATTCTCCCATTGAAAATCGCTTTGCAGAATGGACCTCAACAATACGGAGACACTTTAAAAGAGATATTCGGAAATTTTGCAAAAATCCATTTTGGTGATCTAAAATATGAGAATTTGCTAAGATATTTGGTGTTTATGGTGTATCAGGCGAGTACTTTTGCAGATCTCGAATGGCGTTACTTGCAATTAGAGAATCTTTTCACCCATCACAACATCGTTGATTTGCAAAAGTTATCGGAAAATATGTATAAAACCGTGCGAGAATTTAAAAATGATTTTTCAAACTTAAATTCAGAATTACCTTGGAACACTAAACTTTATCCACGTCTAAGAGATTACCGATATATCGATTTGAAGGGCGTAGAAGGGAAGGTTTCGAATGTTTTGTCAGCGTTATTAATGAATCTGATATTACAAGATATACCCGAACTGCCTGTAAGAAAGCTTTATCAACTTGATGTTTTAACATATTCGCAAGCGATATCGAAAAGTTCTCTCATCGATAAATTTAATAATACTTTCTTGCAGTATTATAGTGTTTTTCTGAAAACTTTCGAGCAATCATTAAAAACACATTTGAAAAATGCTCATCTACCTACGAGCGACTTGATACAATTGCTACCAGCTCTTTTATGGTTCAATCGTATTTTACTTTTATCCAAAGAACAAATATTCGTTAATAAGGAATTAAACATTGATTTGATGCATAAACTTTTATTACACTTTAATTGGCTGCAGAAGCGTTTATTGAAATTTCTTTTGCCCTTAATATGCATCAGCAATCCCGATGATTCAGCATTTATGGATAATTTGCAAAATCTAAACGACTATGCTTCAAATATTAAACAACCATTAAATATGATCAAAAAATTGTACACAAAACAAATAATGCAATTTTCAGCGTTTTATCAAGAGGAACAGGTACGTTAATAAAAAAAATAAAAATAAAAAAAACACAAGCTATAGTTGGTCGCGGTCCATGATTAAATACCCTGGGCGTTATCTGGGAAGCAGTCGAAACTGTGGTTGCATCCGAATCATTATCAACACCATTCATCCTTAGCTCAAAACACGCCAGTGTAACAAATTTCATCAAATTATGGCCTACACATTGAAAATAAGACGAATAGACAGACGGACAAGCTTAGATCGACTCAGAAACTGATTCTAAATTTGTTCATATAATAAGAGATGGATGGGGAAGCCTGAATGTATGTACACTCGAAAGTGTCATTTGTCAAGGTTACAGGATTGTTACTGAACAAAAATTTATCCCGAAGATTCGGAAAAGTTCGTTTTGATTAAAGTGATATATTTATTTTATCCATCACCGAAGAAGGATGGGGGAATATTCATTCTGTCAAAACGTTTTCAAGAACGAGAAGCAAGCTTCAGAGATTTTTATAAAGTGTACAGATTCTTGATCAGAATGGTTATGTAGTAATGGTGGTAAACGTTCTGTCCTATGGCAAGCATAGGTTCACAATTTCCAAGGGTATCTTACAAGATCGATAAAAATCGGCTATGCCCACCCACCACTGCAGAATATAGAAATTTAACTTTTTGGTATTTACACTGTACGCCACTTGCGATTCAAAGGTATATTAGGTTTGTGCGGATATATGCAACATCCAGAAGAACTTGACACAGATCCACCTTCTATTATACCGATCGATTCAGAAAGTTATTCAGAACCAGAAATCTAAGCATTTCTATCCGTCCATCTGCTTGTCGTGTTCAACCTACAGGCCGCAAATTTTTTAGATATTTTGATAAAATTTGGTACACCGAAATGTTTTGGCCCAAGGATGGGCGCTATTGAAAATTCGAGCACCTTTTTGATCGCTGCTCATGTAATATTTTATTTTGAAAAGTCCATATAAAGATAACTCTAGAGTAGCGAGCCGCAGTGAGGCCGCACCCCACTATAACGTTTTTCCTTTTTTTTTTTTTTATAAATATGAGGGATAAAAAAAATTTGGCCAGATCTAAATACAATTTTCTTACTTTTAATATATTGAAAGGCCGATGGCATTAGATGCTAATGCTTTAAGACTTTAGTCTTAGAATTTATTTCTTAGGCTAAATTAATAATCATAATAATCATGATATTAAAAATTGATTTTCAGGTTACTTCGTTTTTAATGGCTGAACAAATGGATCAATTGTTAAGCGTTATACCTATGTACGGCAGCTTTACTGCTAAGGATATTTTGAGAAAATTTATTATGCAAAAATCATCGAAAACTGAAAAACTTCGCAATATGTTTGCGGAAAATATATCGTACGTGGAATTGAATCTAAAGGAAATTGAGTTATGTGATAAGAAAGATCAAAAAATACCGTCGGACTTAAAAAGGCAATTAAAAGACTTGATTGGAGATTTTAATGCTGCCCTGGATAATGAAAAAGTGGTGGCAATTCCGAATAACTTGAGATTCATAGAAGCTGAACTATTGGACTTGGCTAGAGAACTCGATCAAGAAGAAATGATAAATGATATGGAAAGTGAAATTGTAGGACCTAAAGAAATTGAATTGCAAACGACATCTCTAAGGGAATATTTTTTAACTAAATTTTGTCTATATAACGCAATCCAGGAACCAAACCAATCGACAGACTATGGACAGCTTAATCATATGTATTGTGAAGAGTTAAGCACACTTGATAATAAATTATGGAAATTATTACGAATCATGAATGCTAAGAGTTATATGATATATAGGAAAATATGGGCTCTCATATGCTGCCATTTAGAAATTGTAAATACTTTTGAAGAGATGGGAGATATGTTGGAATATTTAAATGGTCACTATCGTCAACTTAATGCCCTAAATCGTTTAATAGTTGATAATATTCAAAATCTACAAATCAAAAATTTAGCCTTAAGATCAAGTTGCTTGCAAGCCCTAAGAAATGAAGAAGATATGAACAGTTTATCCCACTATGAGGGTCCAGCTCTTATCAACACCGTTTGCTGTACATTATATCAAAGTGACAATCAATTTAAGATTGTACCTTTAGATGATTTGGAGCTTTGGAAAGCTCAGCTAGAACAAATACGCGACTTGTTATGGTTGAACAACGCAGTCATGTCTTCCAGATTTAACCTGGCTCTTAATAATTATAAAATCTCTCGAGAAAATGCTAAACGTTTATTAAACGAAATAAATTATATCAGGTCTTTAAGTGCATATTCGGAAAATGAAAATTCCAGCGACTTTAGTAAAGGTTTTGAAATATTGATAAATAAATTGGCCGTGATATTAGAGAGAGCAGGCAAAGAAGTTACAAATTCTGATCAACACGAATCCCTACAATACCAATCTGTGCTCTATGAAACCGCCATAATAAATGCTTTAATTGGTGCAATAGAATTAAATGTTTTCACTTATATACCACTTATCGATCCGGTGGAGAAAAATCATCTGAAAACTTTATACAATCAAGAAGACATCGATAGCTTGAGTACTTTAAAGTCTTGCTTTGATTTTCTGAGAATTATAATGAAATATAAACGTTTGGGTAAGGAATACTATCAGGCTTTAGAACAACAGTTAGACAACTTGCAGCTTAAGAAAGTAAAATTACAAGAAAAGATGGCCAAACGTTCGAAGAAATCCCTCTACAGTCTGTTAGTCAAAGATGCAAAGCATTACCTAAAAACGAACTGTGATCCTGTAATTCTGTTCAACTTATTGGAAAACATACAAAGTTGCTGTAAAGATTTAAACGATTCAGTAGCCGGACCGAAATCCATAGATATGTGCTTTGAGTTACAACATAAAATTGATATTTGGTTGACTAACTCGCAGAGTTTCCTCCAGCACACCTTAAAACCGTATTCAGGTTATTACGAAGATTTCCTGAAACCATTACAATGCGCGGTCGAACAGTTAAGTTTCGCTTTTAATGGTCTAAATACAATCTTGACACAACTTAAAAGCGGATTTATAGAAGAGACAAGTAAATCTTACACCAATATTAACAATGAAGGACAAATTAATCGAATTTTGGAAAATATTGCAGAGTATCCTAGAGTTCATCGTTTGTTAGTACAAGAGAATAGTTGTCCCTTATACCGGGCATTGCATAAACTACCGGAAGGAGATAAAGATTATTTTCTTTTACTGAAAGTGAAGCTAAAAGAAATTCAAAGCCTTATGCATATCGAGGGAAAAATCAATCAAAATCATTATCGAGATCTGGACTGTGCCTTTAGCATAATCAATAAAGTATGGCAAAAGGAAGAGGTACACCGACGTGAACGGAAAGCGGAGGAAGAAAGTTTATACATTAATAAAACGAAATGCGTGGAAGATAATCCAGATTTGAAAGAATTACAAGAATTGGAGGAAATCTTTCCCACCTCAGTAAATAGTGATTTCGGTGATTACTTGCAAGAAAATTCATTGGAAATGATTTTGAAATTAGATAAACAAGCATTGAAAACAACTCAGCATTCGACTTTAATTAAGGAAGAGGATTATTCTTTCATAGCTAAGCTATTCATGGAAATCTATCGACAATACCCAACGTTCTATCATCAATCCCGTTATAATAATGCCTGCAAGCAAACGCGGAAATTCGTACTTATGTTTAAAGAAAGCATGCAAGTCTTTTTAAGGCTTTACCAGCACTACCGTTCGTCTCTTAATGAATGGTTAGATGAGCAATCATTTAACTCATTAGCATTTTCGGTAGCCTTACAACAAGAAAACTTAGAAGCATTCTCTATCGATGATACATCAACAAAATCCTACAATTTTTATAAGGATTCCAACATTCAAGAAATAGTCAATTGTACCGAAATTTTATATAGAATTGAAGAGCGTGTTGCCGAGCAACTGAAACTATATCCTGAGCATGCCGCTTTATTAGATATTGGGAAAATCATTAAACGAATACGTCAACTACCCTCCAATGCTCCCGTGATACGTTTTAATACCGGTTTCCAATTGTTAAGACAAAAGGTTAGCCAATGGAATGAAGTTGCCCATAAAAATAATAATTTGAAAGAGGAAGAAGTTAAACTGGCCGAATATGTGCAAAATTGGACACGTTTGGAATTGCAATTCTGGCGCAATTGTTTACAACAGACTTATGAAAATGTCGAATCTCAAGCTTATAAGTATTGGTTTTTCATCTATCATTTGCTCCAAGAATATCTAGAAAATCATTCAATCAGCTCGAGTTTAAAAGATATGAAATACTGTGAGAAACGTTTCGTGCAACAAGAAGCCGTAGAGTCATCCGAATTGGGAGAGAAAACCAAAATTCAATTGCCTGAAGTGATCAACATACTTAGGCAATTTTTAGAATCTGCCACATATGGAGACTTTCATGTACGCTTGGAGCTAATGAAAGCTTTTGAATTTTACTTGAATCACTGCCAGGAAGGCAAGCAGGTAGAGGAAAGAAATCGATTGGAGCAATTGATAGCCGGTTTACATAATTTGCAAATATATTTTCAACAATTTCTTAACGAAATCGTAGAATGGAATAAAAGTGTGAAAGGTCCCATAGAAAAGAAATTGAAAGATTTAGTTAAAATTGAAAGCTATAACAAAGACTTATCCTACTTTAGCATGCGCAATAATGTGGCCAAGGTACACCGAAATCTCAACAAATTCTTGAAAGAATATAAACAACAATTAGAAGAAAAAATCGCTCCCGTATTCCAAATGAAAGAATCTATAATCAACAAAGACTTTAATCTTCAGAACGGTCATAGCACTTCCGAAACTTATGTCAGAGATATTGATACTTATTTAGCTGCTTCGAATTTAAAGGAAAACTATATGACCTCATTTGATTCAAGTTCATCTGCTCTTTTACAAAAACTTTCACATTTATATAGAAAGTCGCGCAAAGTAGTTAAAGATACTTTAACAAATCATAGGTATTCTCAGCTCCTCGACACACTCGATAATGTTTTACAGCAGCAATTAGAACATTGTAATGATTTACGTCAGCTTTCAGTCGATCGGGGAAAGGAGCGTTCGAAACAAGTTTTAGAAGCGAAACAAATTCTTCAACGAAAGCGTAAAGCTTTAAGTGATTTCTTCAAATTGCTTACCCTCCTCGGTATTAACTACAAGACGGGCCTAGCGAAATTGTCGTTAATAAAAGAAAATGACGAATTTGAAAATTATCAAATACCGCCCTTCTGCTTAGAAACAATTACGAGCGATTTTTGCACGCAGAACTTGAATCTTAGTTTCGCTAAAGCAATTTTTAAATTGAAAATTTTGCTAAGCATAATGTTGACGCCACTTAGTGAGTTGGGTTTACCGAACATAGATCGTATTAAAGGTTTTGCCGTCCAGATGTTTCTATTAGTGCAAAAGCAACGCAATAGCTTGGCGAGAGGATGCAAGGAATTGTATGATTTCAAATGTCAACTACAGAATATGAAAAGTATCGCCTTAATTGTAAAGACATCTACGATGAGTGACGAAAATCTGCAATTCGTTAAGTATCAAAATACCTACGAAAACTTGACACAATCATTTGTTCATATATCTTATGTTTTGGAACAATTCAAATTACTAATCAATTGTTTGCCATCGAAAGATATTTCAGCGAATCGTTTATCCACAAATTTAAATAACTTGTTAACGAAAGACTCTTCAAATTTTGCAAACTTAAAGAGATTAAGCGATGAAATTCTTTCTACAAGTCAATCTACTTTAAAAGAAATGCAAGAAAAATATTCCGAATTTTTGAATCCCAATCACTTAAATGACTTCATTATTAGGCATGAGCAAGTGAAGGGATTATTAGGAAATATCTTAGATCAATTAAAAATATCTTCAAGTGATTATTTACCTTTGGCTAAACCTTTACTGCAGTTACGGCAACAGATCGGAGAAATGTTCCGCCCGTCGAATATCAATAGCCCGTCATTCACGGAAAATGATTTTGAAAATTTTGAACAAGAATTGGAAAATATTATTCGTTCTGCGTTGAGTTCTTTGGAAAAACTCTATAAAAAATCCTGCTCAGAGGATATCAATAAAGCAAGTCAAGATATTAAAGAGCAAGAAGAAGAAGAAGAACTGAATGATCTTGAAGAAAATCATTTGAAAGAGCATCTTAGTGAGGATTTGCTAAACAATTGGAAAATTTTAAATCTGAGTGAATTGAATGAAAAACTTGCCCATGCCTTATTATTGATAAAGTCTTCCTCTTTTCCGACTAAAATACTTCACGTCAAAAAATTAATTTCAATAATACCCATACTCGAGCAATTTCAATTGATGGCTAATTATCAATTCACTCAACAAATCTATACTCATAAGTTGTCGGCGAAAATATTGTCGATTATGTTAAGTGTCTTTGTCGAAATTGGTACAAAAGGTTTTTGTACACCACCTGATCTTATGCGAGATGCTGAAGTAGAGAATAAGCAAGATGGACAACAGCAACAGGGTGAAAAGTTTGGCTTAGAAGATGGTACGGGTGAGAAAGATGCATCCAATAAAATCGAATCTGAAGATCAATTGGAAGATGCTAAACGTCCTGAAGATCGCAAAGAAGAGAAAGATAACGAGCAGTCGGATTGTAAGGAAGAGAAGGGTATAGATGTCAGTGAAGATTTCGATGGTAATATGCAAGATTTGGAAAAACCTGAGAACGAGGATGACGATAGTGGTGAGTCAGAGACAGAGGAAGACGTTAATAAGGAAATGGGCGAAACCGAGGCTGGCGCTGAAAAGCTAGATGATCAAATATGGGGTGACGATGAAGAAGAGGAAGAAAAAGAACAGGAAGAACACGACTTAAACGAAGAGGAGCAAGGCAAAGGTTCCAAAGATGAAAAAGATACACATAATGATTTAAATACAGAAAATGAAGCTTTACCTGAAGATACTAAGGATCAGCAAAATCAGGAGTGCCTAGATGCCACCAATGAAGATAAAAGAAAAGAAAAGGAAAGAGATATAACCGACATGAAAGAACCCGAAGTCAGTGAAGAACAAGATAATCCTTACCATAATGAATTAGAAGATCCTCCGGAAGCGGAAGAAATGGATTTGGGTGACTTAAATGCCAATGAAGAAAATGATAAAGATAATGAAGCCGATGACCAGTTGAGGGAAGAAAACCCTTTCGAAATCGATAAAATGAAAGAAAACATGCCAACGAAAGACCAAGAAGATGACGAACAAGAAACGGGGAACAACGAAAATAAAGACGTAGACAATGAAAACGTGAGCAGTGATTCCGAGGAGGAGGCTGAAGATGGGCAAATGCAGCGGGAAAAAATTGACGATCAGGAGGAGGAAATCGAAAACAAAACCGAAGAAATGGAAGAAGAACAGCCTGTAGAAGAAAGTAATCTACAAAAACGTGCGGCGATAGAAGAAAACCCAGAGGAGGGCCACGAAGAAGAACAAGAGTCTCAAAAAGATGATTTAAAGGAAAATTATGAACAATCGATAGATAAACGAAGTGAAGAAGATAACATACAATCGGTCCCCGAAATGGAAAACAATCGAACAGCCGATGAAGTTCAAACGCCAGAGAATGAGAAAAACATAAAGCAAGACCAAAAGCTAGATGAGCAGCAAACGGGCGAAGAAAAGGACGGCGTAGGACAAGCTGAAACTGAGGTAAGAATTTAAAGAAATATCAGATAATCCTTGACATTTACTTAGTGGTTCTTACATTGCTTACTTATATCAAGGCAGCACAAATACACGTAAATATTCGTTTCTATGCCCTGAGCCACTTGTTGTAGATATCTGTGTCCACGTATTACCTTGTACAACGTATAGGTTGCAACGTACGGGATGTTTTTATGAAATTTGCAACACGCCCATCTCTAGGGCCGCTCATCAAGAAAGGCTTATTTTAGAAAAGCCATCATGTAAATATCTCACGACTAGAGTCCGTGAACAATAGAATTTTATCGCATTACGTGAAAATGGAAAAACTGTACGGAATTAGGTCGTCTCTCGCCCCCCACCTCTCATATATTAGATGTTTGAATAAATTCGTTCGATTTTTTTATAAAATTTAGTTTTATTTAAAATATTCGTATTAAAAATCTTAATAATCGAAATATCCATTATCATTGTCTATGGTCTTTTACCATTTATCGGGTAGTTTACGTCCTCTGATAGAAATTTCCCGGTGTAAAGGCGAAATAGTCATTGACGCACGCCACAAATTTCGCATACCTTCAACTTTTATGAACCGCCGACCTGCATCGATCCGAATAAGTCCCAATCGGAAGCGGCCAGGTCTGGGGAATATCTGTAGTGAAGTGAAACTTCCTAGCCTAAGCTGAAAACCATTTCCTTAACTTTTTTATGCGGAGGACGGACGCGAATTTTATCGTTCCCACGACTGAAATTTTTTACCTAAAAATTTCGGAAAACACTATCTAACGGTTTCGTAGCTTACTGCATTTTCACTCCAAGTCAATTTAATCGCTTCTGCAGCTCCAGGTCTTTTTTTTTCGGTAAAAATAAAAAGAATGCGCAGTCGTAAATGACATCCAGTTCTTTAAACATTGATATACACTGAACGGCAGGTAGTAAACAATTGAAGCTTACTCTGTTCAAACACCAACATCTAAGTTTTTTCTACCTGAAATTTCGGGAAAATAGAACGCGTCAGATCCGCTTTCCGAAGTGACCAATTTCAGGAGAAGGGATTGATTTACACCCGTAATCATCTAATCCTGCGAATAATAAACCTTTCAATGCCAATAAAGTCTGGTACTCAGTATTTTAAGAAAATTAATAAAGAAATTTATTTGTTACCGATTCCTCAAACCCCTTGCCAAATAAAACTTTTCCTAAACTCCGCTTTCTTAACTTTGCATTACAGTAGGTAAAGTGATGTTAAATGGTCCTTGCTTGACTATTTTAACTTATTTTATTTCTCTATAGAGGAGTAAGTTGGGTTTAACTTTTAGGTCAAACTCTTATACGTTCTCTTTCCATAATAAATTTCACAATTTTTTACATATAATGCGTTTGTTTAGAATAACGATGGTGGTCATCAAGGCATTGCCGAGACGAATGAGATGACAGTTCAGGAAGAATGTCAAAATGAAAAACAAACTCAAGAAAAACGAAAACAGGGATGCACTAACGAAGAGAGGACGCTTGGTAAAGATCCTTGAGAATATAAAGACATTTTAAAATTCATAGATCATTTCTTATAAAACAGGCGAAGCTGAAAAGAATAAAATCAAACAATTGAAAACCATTGAAAAATTAGATGAACAGAAGCAAAACGATGAGGCTGACGATGATCACAATGAACCTCCAGAGGCTGATGAATATCAACATGTCAAAGAACCAAAGAATAGTGACAAAATTACTTTAGATAATGCCACCGAAGAGCAATCAAAGAAGTCGCAACATGTTGAGAATGAAAAGGATGATCATGAGGAAGATAATAATTCAGAAATAATTGACGGTTTAATGGACATTGACGAGGATCATGAAGAAAATGAACAAAATAATCTACAAGAAATATCGCCTGATAGATTAGATAAGAAATCGGATAAACCTTCGAAAAATGAGAAAAACGGAGAGCAAATCGAAACAACTGAACGTATGGAAGTTGAGGGTGATATAGTGGAAACGTTGACAGCAACGCGTAGTGACGAGACGACAGCACATTGCAAGTAAGTAATAAAGAGCGAAGAAATGCCGAAAAAAAAAAAAAACGATAAAAAAATTATACTGAATTCGGCATTATCCCATAACAGATTTGAAAAAAGTAAAAGTATAAATTTTCATGCTCTCTAGTGTATATAGTATGTGGCGATCGCGGCTGTTTTTTTCTATTTCTGTAGAATTATTTATATTGTGTATCTGTTGTGATTTATGAGCAACGAACAAAGATGTTTTCAGTTTTAGTTTTATAGACATGTGGGCGTTGCAGGCGTCTTCTTATACCTTTTTTTTTTGCAAATTTTTAAGCCTTATCTCCTTTGCAAACGAAAGAATGTGTACCACAGATACGACGTAGATTATGTCAATCGTTAATGTCTGCACGTGGCATGTGTGAATCAGCCTTGTAAGACAACCTTGCAGAAGAGAGGGCCTATTCCAAGAACTAAGATACCATAATGAAAGTTTAGGATGGTCCAAATCTTCCCCTCTGAGCAGGGCGGAGTCTATTAAGCACCTCTGCTCATTTAATGCCCCCTGCTTTGGGGATACTGGAGCTATCACGAGTACTCTACGAAGGGCCCCATCATAGCGGTTGAACCTGCTGCGTTCAAATTGTGATTGTGTATAGCAGCTTCCAGTGCAGTTTCTTACATGATATATATGCAAGCTTTGCTCCGAGGAATTCTGGCAAGCGCCAATACTCAGATTCGTCTTAACCGATACAGCAGCCACCCCTACCCGCCTAACACATGACTGAGTGAATGAGTGGGCAACCTGACGCCCGTGGATTCCATAGATTTATTAAGCAATGCTTTCGAATTATTGGCATTACATCATTGCATCATTATGATCACACTTGCATTCGGATTATCCATGCTTCCTGGAAAGCCAGCCAACTACTTTCCCTCTTGGATTTATTGCACAAGGAGAAGTAATCAACTCCGCATATGCCAGACACCTTATCACTCTACACTATTTGTAGCCCCTTCCGTAACCATAAGTTGGTTGTACCCTGGAGCTCCTTTATAGTTGATTACGCGGTTACGAAGTCTGCCAGCAGACGACCTCCATGAAAGACTCCCCAAGGAGGAGTCTCCCTTTGTCGAGGAAGGCAGATATGACAACGCCGAATATTATCGGTATATTCATTTCGCTAGAACGCTTGCAACACTAAGAAAGTAGCTTCAGAGACTCCAAAAAGTATATATATAAATCTTTGATCAGCATCTAATCCTGAATCGATTTAAGCATGCCCGTCGTTCATCTGTGCGATGTCCTTTGTAAATATTCTCCTAGCTGCAAAAATGCAGTTATCATCTTCAGTTTTTTCAATACTTTTATAATGCATAGAAGCAAGCTTCAAAAACCCGCCATAGCACCTATATTCTTAGTCAGTGTCACGTTCAGAATGCAAGTAAGCACGGGTGTCTGTTCATCTTCCGGTCTGCTCAACTATGTAGTATCTGTGGAACAATGAAACGTTTGCAAACACAAATGGGCCAAAGGGCACACCTGCAACCCAACAACGCATATACAACAAGGTGCAAAGTGCGAACTACTCTTCTTTTCCTGTGTCCTGCTTGTTACTCATAAAATAGAGAAAATCAACTGCGCCCATCCCACATCCCACAATAGTTTTAGCTTTTTTCATTTTTTTTTTTTTTTTTTTTTGTTACCTTTTAATGCGTTTTGGATTGTTACGTAAGAACATTTTAATTTAATATTTTCAGTCAAGAACTACTGCAAGAGAGTAATTCGTATGCGGAAGATATGACCACAGCTGAATTATTAAAAATAAGAAATATGTATCAACAAGAGGCGAGCGTACCGAAATCGGTAAGACAAAGTCTGCGATTTTAAAGAAATATATTTTTATAACTAACTCGCACCAATTTACTTACGTAGATTTTACCAATTAACGAGGACTGTGAAAATTGGCACACCATCTCAAACCGTATGGCTCAAAACGCTCGCGATCTTTGCGAGCAATTACGCCTAATCTTAGAGCCCACAAAGTGTACGCGTTTGAAAGGTGATTATCGCACGGGGCGTCGCATAAATATGAAGAAAATTATACCGTATATAGCGTCGCAATTTCGCAAAGATAAAATCTGGTTAAGGCGTACTAAACCCGCCCAACGTGATTATAAAATTACTATCGCCATCGATGATTCCAAATCAATGCATCATAACAATTCGAAAATGTTGACATTAGAAGCGATATCTTTAGTTGCGCAAGCGTTAACTTTATTAGAAAGTGGACGTTTAAGTGTTCTATCATTTGGAGAGAGGCCGCAAATTCTACTGAATCATACGGAACAGTTCGATGGAGCAAAATTAGTCAATCATTTGAACTTCTCGCAAGATAAAACAAAAATTGCTGAACTTTTAGATTTTATACGAGTCATTATAGGGGAGGAATGTTGTACGAGTTCAGATAATGGTATCTTTGAGAATCTTTTGCTAATATTAAGCGATGGCCGCAACATATTTAGCGAAGGAAAAACAAAGGTTCACAAATAATTCTAAATTACGTATACAATTTTACTATTCTATTCTATTATTGCTTTTCAGGTTAAAAATTCCATTAAATTGGCTCGTTTACAGCGTGTATTCCTGGTTTACATTATAATTGATAATCCGGAAAATAAGAATTCAATATTGGATATACAAACCATGGAAATGCTTCCTGATAAAAAAATTAATATAAAATCGTATTTAGATGATTTCCCATTTCCTTATTATGTGATCGTAAGAGATCTTAATCAATTGCCTTTAGTTTTAAGTGAAGCAATGCGTCAATGGTTTGAATTGGTTAATCAATTCAATTGATATTGAATAAAATAAGATTTTAAAGAATTTATATTAAACTACAATACTGTTTGTTTTTTCTTTCTTTCTTTCTTTCTTTCTTTTCCTTATCATAGAATAATAGAATACGGTTATACGCAAAACCGTGATATTGCACTCAACTTACATCATTTTCAAATTTAATGATATTATAAAAGTTCCACTTGTAAATCGAAGGGATAGTCTTTGGAATTTAAGCTTTGTCTAAAAAGCTGTGTATGCTGCCAAGCAACGTCACCTTTACCTCCCGATAATTTGGCACAAATCTCAAAACGGCCACAGTTTACGATATCCGTGACCGCAATTTCGTCACAAGGATGTATTAAGAGTTCTACGTTACCCTCTCCAAATGTTTTCGTCTCGAAGCGTAGAGTGTATGTTTTCACTTTAAGTTTGGAAGAGTCAAAATCAAATTTCCACAAAATTTCCGCACTCTCACTGTCTTCTTGACGAGCCAGATAAGCCATTTTCCAATCACGTTCCACTTTTCGTAGCATATTTTTAGAAGAAAACTGACAGCTTTGCCATGTCTTATACGTCTCCAAAACACGTACATCTTGACTGTTATCTACAATTTTGAAAGTTTTCCATTTACATTCGACTAACACATCTGCAATTAAAAAATAATACAATTTACCTTTGATATAACGTTCATAAGTATCTGTTGCACAGCAATAACGTAAATTAAACTGTTTATGTTGAGCTTCTTCCTCCTTTAAGGTAAAAGTGAAAATCTGAAAGTATTCCATGTTTTATTAAACCAGAGCAATAGTGACGAAAGGACAGAAAGAATTCTTATCCATTTGCAACATCAAAAAAATATAATACAAATATGCGTTGCTAAATGATCTTGATTATATCGCTAGAATTTATTTTGCAGTATTCGATTAATTTTAGGTATGTCGGTCAGCTCGACCATTCATACGTTATCGCATAGCCTAAGAAATAAGAATTGTAATAAGCATGTAGTGACTATGCTTTAATTATGATTGGAGAGCGTCTACAATTATAGTGAATGAACTGCGGAAAAAACAAATTATAGTCGGCCGCAACCAAGTCGTTTATAGCAGTCGTTATACCACTCACCGCCTAATACTGATCAATATTATGCAAACTTTGTATGGCCTCTTAAAGATTCTTTCTGGTAAACGTACTTCTGGCTGTAAACATTTTGATGAAAGAGTGAAATTTTAGTATTCTATAATACTAAGTAGACTTGGCCCATATTTTTCCCCACTTTTGCAGTGGTGATGCAGGACCATCCACTGAATATAAATATGAATTTTAATCGTTTTATTTGTTATTGTTTATAAGTAAGAAGCAAAGAACCAAATTTTGTTATTTTTGAAAACAGAGTTGACCTCAGGTAATATTATACTGTGATCGTGTCCTTTGATTGATTTGGCTCAATTTCAACTGGTTCAAGAACTTCATATAAAACAGATTACTGTATTTTCACGACCAAGAGACATTACACAGTTAGGCAGAGAGACGGACATGCTTAGATTGATTTAGAATTTGATCAAGAATATATATACTTTGTGAAGTCTTTGAAGTCTCCTTCTTGGCGTTGCAAACATTTTGAAAAATGAATATACCCGTTATCGTACAGTGATGGGTATGAAATTATAATATATTTTTATGCATCTATACTTAAGGATTACGATGACAAGATCGTTGTAAATATCTACTATATGTCCCAGGGAACGATTTTTTGTCTTTTCAAAGGGAAGTTTTGCATCTCGACTCGAAATTGGACTATATATGTATGATGCAAATTTAAGTTTCCCGCTACAATGTCGAAACTTTCTTCTACGAACTCTTTAACAACCCATTGACTTGATTACTTAAATACATAATTTGTATATAGTTTATGCCCTTTTTAATGCACTTTTCTTGGAGTTACGAATAGGCAGCTAAAGCAAAATTCCTTTGGAATAATTTATTAGAAAAGCTATAAAAAGCCTATTAAGCAAAAAGAGCAACAACAAATGCACATACGCTACACAAGCTTATATTACTTACATTAGTAAAGTTGTGCTCACCCCTAGATTGGCGCCAGGTTAAACTGCCGGAACTGCGTCCTTTTAATTCATTTTCTGTAGGTTCTCTGTAATAATTTGTGGCTGATAAAATTGCTTTTTAGTTCATCGTAAACTTATCCTCACCTTTCCACCGTTAATTCTATTAATTCCAGCATACAACGTTGATTTAAAGCTTTTTTCCTCTCGTCAGTAACGTGAGCTTGCCGTTTCTTTCTTATCGTTAATAAAGCTTCAATTAATTCTTTTTCTGTGCAAAAATTTCTCATTGTTAGAGTCTCTTTATGCTTATTAGTGTAACGCCAAGTGACATCCTGGGCATCATCGCAAGAATAAGCAAAAATGTAATCTATCGAACGTTTCCAGCCATGCTGGTACATTAAAGGTGAATCCACGACATTATCGGATGGATCCACATGCAACCAACGCATTTGACTTTCGGAATAAACCTAGAAGAGAAAAGAGAAATCATTTTAAATTTTGTACTTCATACTTCAATGTCAACTTTTAACCTCTGTCCACACATGATCAAATAAGGAATGTACTAGACGCGCATCATAATCCAAACATCGGCATAAAAAGGTAAAACAATTGGCATATTCGCCGCAACGTCCTTTACGTGAAACCAATAGTTGAGCAATGTCGTTATATCGATAGAATTTTGTCTCTTGACCACAACACATATTCACCTCTACACGTAAATCGTCCTCTTTTTGTGTACGACGTAAGTTACCCTCTTCACTACCACATATTTTGCAGGGTACATTATTAACCCATTCAAAGAATTCATTCTTGAACCAATTAACTAATTCTACCAAAATTAAATCACGAATGCACGGTTCTTTACAGCTGGATTTGTTTTGATGTAAAGCATTAGTTGTATTATTAGCAACTTCTTGAATTCCTAATAGTTTCTCACTAGCCTTTTGCGTCAAGTCGTCGATTGGTATCAGCTTAAGACCAAATGCCAATAATTTCTCGTCTTCATATTGCATGACTGCATCGGAAAAAAGTTCCAAAGACTGCAGGAATCGATTGGGGGTTTGCTAAAATAACAAGAGATATGAAATACATGTAATTTTCAAAAATGTTCCAACACTCACTAACACCCTGGGATATGTGATACGTTCTTTGTATGGTCTTGTGGCTTCTAAGCCGGTCACTCTGCTTTCTGAGTCGATCATACTTGTGCTCTTCAACGAAACCGATCCATCTAATAATAAAGAAGAAAAAATATTGCTTAAGAAATTTTTAATAGATTTGTTTAAGTACTCGCAGACATACCATTATTGTTTATCGCTTCATTTTCATGCTGATGATCATGCAACCAAAACTCTCGACGTTTATGCAAAATGTCACGATACTCTTTGATACGCTCCAGCGACGCATCTTGCGGTAATAAATATTCATTAGCTAAACGCTGAAAGCCAATAGCTTTTAATAATTGATTAAAGCCTTGTAGTGCAAGCAGTTTCTCTTTAATCGTTTTATTTTCCAAGCGTATTGTGCGATATTTATGCTCGTGCGGAAAATTAATTACGTTATCCAAAAGTACCAACAATATACGAACCGCTTCCAGATAGGCATCTAAAGAATTTTTCGATATTGAGACTGTTGACTGCGTTGTCGATGATGTCGATGATGAAGCGGTCGAGCTTGAAGTTGTTGTTTTACTTTCTGCCGGTTCTATCGAACGTATACAATTGTAATCCACTTGCGATGACATTGTTCTTCTAAATACTTGAGGTAGTAATTTCTTTAATATCACTTAAAGTCGGTGGAGGGAGAGAGACGAAGATTATTACTAGACAGTTTTTATATGTCTGGTACAAAATAAAAAAATAAAAAAAAATAACAAGAAAGATTTCTTCCGTTTGCACACGTAAACAGAACCAAAATAATAAAACGGTTAAAAGTGTTGATAATAAGAAGCGATAATATTTTACAATTTTTTTCTGAATATTGTTATTTGATTTTCAAGAGGTTGAAACCACTATTTAATAAAAAAAAAACAAACAAAGACACGATAACAAAATACACTTTAGGTCTCTATAATAACAGAGAAAGGCAATGCAATAATTACTAGGCGAAAAATGCTTACAATACAAATTTAGAAAATCAAAACAAAACACCGAAAACAGTTGGTAAACGCAACGAACATATGATACAAAGTATAACAGATCAGAACAAAATAGGGTTGCCAAGTTTCTCAGTAAAAAAATATTTTAGTATATTTGGTGGATATGTTGGAGATTAGAACGGGAGGACTTTTACCGACGGCTTTGCAAATTAACATCGAGTATTACGTTCTTTCTGTATATAGAATTAAAATTTAGCTACTGTTTTGTTTAATTTGATAATAAAAAAAAAAAATCATTGCAACAAGACTTTTCTTAAATCAATACAAGGTTTGTTGAAATTCACAATTTCCGCGACCGGCTACATCATAGGTCTCTTTGTATTTTTTTTTCAAATCATCTGATCAATTGCCACAGTACAGACTTTAACAATGCTGGCGATATATCCAAACTTTTTGTCGAGTTCAGAGTTCGTAAGTTTAGAAAAGTAGAAAAAATTCAAATTGATGCAGATTTTCATAAAGGCAGTAACGATAGCCAGAATTTAAGTACAAGTCGCTTTCTAGAGAACAATTGGAATAACGGCCTTACCCTGAAGGTGCTAAGTTGTTTGCACGTAATTACTATCTCTTACAAACAAACCTCGGTTTTTGGACCAAAAATTACATGTGAAAGCAGATTACTCTCAGTTCAACACGCACTTCTTGTCAGCAGGATGACCGTTCTCTTCTTCCATTAAGAAGGCCAACCTGATATAAACAACAAACAATGAACGCCACAACATTACACTGTTAAAATACTTTTTGGAGAAGTTATTGTCACTAAATTTCTCCATCGCGTGGATTGAGTGAGATATCGAAGCATACTACACAACTTTGTTCTAAGGCCTTGAAAATTTTTCTTACAGATTTAACTTCAGGTAACTTCCGATATAACTTTTACTGCAGTTTGAACAGATTTGTCTTGACATTTTCACAATACATTCAGGCCTTTAACTGCACAGGTTCTTACATTTTTGTAAACCTTTGAAACCATTGAAAAGAGAAATCATAAAAGTGAGCAGTGCCATCAAATTTTTTCTTTTCCTTTCCTTTCGACTAACAATGAAGAATTTCCAAATTTCACACCCAAAGATCTAATTAACTGTCAGGCATCTGAATTGTGTTGTGTTATATAGATCTGCACCTTTTCCACGAAAACGATTTATTAGCCATTTTCATGAAAGCAAAAAATTCCAATAAATTCTAATCATTATTTAAATATTTAAAATGTAACTGCGAGCGCGCACACAAGCATCCCATTGCGGAAAACCGTGAAATAATATGATGGAGAAAGCTTTGCGTTTAGAGCAAGATTTTGTAGATCGTTTAGATGGTTAGATTTCTGTGATCATTGAGTCATTATATAATCCGCTCATCATCCCTTTCGAAATTCTACTCTGGATTCAATTCTACCCGTTATCAATTCAAAGCGAAGCTTTTGACTTTCCACAGTTATCAAAAAGCTACGTTACATCATTGTTCTCCCAAAATCGTAATGATAGCTTCGTGGTATTCCGAGTCCATCCAAATCACGATTTGTAAGAAACTTTGCAAAATTGTATCTTCTTCCTGCTTTCTATACCCAGAAGGCCAGAAGGCCTTGAGATAAATTCAATTTTTGTTACACCGATTCATTCATAATTACTAAGCTTGTCTGTCCGTCCGTCACCCCGGCCATCTTGCTTTTTTGAGTTCAACCAATAGGTAGCAAATTTAGAATCACTAAGTTTGTCTGTCCGTCCGACTGCCTGGCCATTTTGGTTTTTTGAGTTCAACTAATAGATCTTTAAGGTATTGTAAAAAAAACTTGGCACACCGATGCTTTTTGGCTCAAGGATGAACGCTACCAACAATATTTCGAATCGAATTTTTTCAATTTTCATTCCAAAACAACCATTATTTCCCAAAAATAAGTAATGGTGCGTCGTGACCCACTAAAGTGCTTCTCATAAATTTTTTTTCCTCAAATAAAATAAGAATACATAGGTTTTTCAAGAGCTTTACATATAAATATAGTTTATTTTTAGTCTTTTTCTTACAAATTTAGACAAAGTAGAAAAAATTTTGGAAAGAAATTGAAATGTTAATAGCATTTACTTCTAATTTTTTTACCATTACTCATTAATCACATTTAAACATAGTTACAACAATTTATAATTAAATGAGATACGGAAAAAAAAATATCCACTCTTTAGAATGATTTACAATAAAAAAATTTTCATTCTCATCATAGAAGATGCTATAAATTTGATGATTTAATGGAAAATTAATCTTCGTTACGGTTATAAAGTATTCATTCTAACGTTGAATCAAATTAGTTGTAACAGTCTAGAAAAGATATTTAAACAAAAGTAATAATAATAAAAAAAAAATATTAAATTATTAAATAAAAAAAAAAAAAAAAAAAAAAAACGAATAATAATTAGAAATTTGAAAGAAAAATTAATCGATCAAAACCGAATTTTAAATATCAATCATCAAGAACATCTCGATATTTTAACCTATGTCTCTAATGAAAATCAAATAAAAAAAAAAAAATTTTTTTTTTTCTGTTTTAAACGAAACCGTTTTATTAGACTTGTAGTGGAAAGTTCAATTTTAATTTATAGTATAAGTCTGCAGAAAAAAAAAAAAATCAAAAGCCTAGGACAACAGCAATAAAGAGAAACAGCGGATTGTTGATGCGCGTTGGGACTTCAATTTTCGAAAATTTTTTATACCCATCACCAGTTCGGCTAGAAACAAAAAATATTAAAGTATTATTTCGTTTATTTTATTATTTAACGTTTAAGAGAAAGAAATGAATATCACTCCTCCTATGAAAGAGAGGACTACATTTAGAAATAGCTTCAAAAGTGGGTGACAACAACTACTTATAAATGTATTCAATATTCATTCACACATCACTCAATCAGTCTCCTATCTGCGACATACATGGCATTATAGGTGGCAGCCCCAACCTTCAAACGATCCGTGTCAATATTTTCTGACAGTTGGTTTAGCGGTCGCTGTCGACGACTATATGACGCAAAAAGAATCGCGATATCGGCGCTGTGTGAAGTCAAAGCGAATTAAAATGATTTTACGGTATATGTCCTATAGATCGGCTTCGTAAATTTGACAATCCCAGATTCCGAGATTCTCAATTTATGTCTAATCGCATAGAACTATAAAGTTTTTTTATTCCCTACCACACTTGTAGTGTAAAGGTATTTTCTGTTTATGCGAGTGTGTACCAAACCCACAAGGCCTTGGAATAAAGCCGCCTTTGATTATATCTCCACAAATTTCCGAATCGATCTAAGCTTGTCTGTCCGTCTCATGTCTGCCCATGTATTTTTGTGCTCAAACTTGTCCCAATTTTTTTGCAGATTTTTTACATTAATGCGTATTAAATAAAATATAAATTTCGAATTTGTTGTGAGAATTTTAAAGAGTTAGCTCTAAGTTGCAAAGCTACCACGATTTTACTAAACTTCACTTAGTTGACTTTCCAAAAAAAAACCTTAGGGTTTTCATTCTATACAACGTTACGAATTCGTAATTTCGATTGGACTAGTCAACGATAGCTACGTCGATTTCAAATACATATATTTTTACACTGAAAAGATTTTAAAATGATTTAACTACGTCTACCCGGACGTGGCAAAATTTTTGAATTTTGAAAATACGTAGAGAGAGAAAGTTAAAGATCGATATTTGTATATCTAGCTGAAGACCTCAATACAAATTCAATTGGGAAATACTTAATAATTTAAGAATGAAAGAAAAAATTGTGTGAATCTTGAAAAGTTGTGATGGGTATAAAAAATGAGATGTGTAATGCTACCCGTGCTTTTACAGATTATTGATCTTTTTTTAAGATAAGTGGCGTCCGCTTACTTTTAGTTCTACATAAAGCGTATAGAAGCTTGCCCCGTTTCATGTCGTACGCGTAACCGACGATTTCGATGAAACACTGTACTACACAGTACTACACGATACATAATTTTTTGATTTATGTTATATTTAAGTTTATATTATGCTATTTTTGAAGATATTTCATTTTAAAGAAGAAAGTTTTTTAAAAAGTTTTATATATAATACGGTTTCGATGCTGCACGATACGAATTAATTGTGTTAAACGGGCCACGCCTTTATACATAAATGAAATAAGTTAAGTAGTGTATTTTATTAAAATGCATAGAAAATGATGCAAAAGGCAATAAGAAATGTACAGTCAACAACGGAATGTAATGAGGAGCAGAATAATTATGAAGTTAACTTAAATAGCTGATGATTTTTCTCTAAAATAAAAAAAAAAAAAAAAAACAGATAAGACAGATAGAGTAGAATATTCGTATTACCACTGAAATAATATGCTTAATGCCACCGGGAATATGCAAATATAGAAAAAATAGCTTCGGATATCTAAATCAACTCTAGTCTTATCACCGTTAAGTTTTTAAGCCTGATTTAAAGTTTCAGAGTAAATTTTCCGTTTATTTTTTACTTTGCTTTAAATTAACAATTAACATTAAAAAAGAAAAAAAGTGTTTGTTAATTTGATCTTAGCCATAATATCAAAATTAACACCCATTTCATAAAACGTGTATTATTATGCGACGATGTGCCTCACAGTCTTACAGTTAGAAACGAATCTTGTACTTTGGACCAAAACAAAAAGAACGGATCCAATCGAGAATAAATTTAGGCGAGAGATAGTGCATAGTGCTTCTTTGGATAAATAAATTATTATAAACTATAAACTAAAACCAGTAACATTTTGATGATTCTTATGATTTTTATAAGTGACTCCAAGTCACATCGTGATGTAATTTGCTGTCAAAAGAATGTGATAAGAAGAGTTGTATTTCCTCTGTTGTCTATATAATATAATTCCGAAGTTAACTGACGTAATTCAAAAATATTTTCAATTCCTTATATATTAGACATTAAGCTTTAGCTAGTTAGTTAACCTTAGTATGTGTGAACGGTTAGTTGGCTTTTAAATGACAAACCATTTTGTATGAAATTTATATTCTTATCAAACACACGAAGCCGTCTTTCCTGTCCTGTTGCCTTTCCCATTACTATTCTATAATATTTTTCTTCATTACAATATATTTTTTACCAAAAATCATTCATTTAGGCGGACGACGGATAGATGAAAATTTTTAAAACTATATATATATATGTATAAAATCAATTAAATTAACTTGATGATGGGATATTGTTTAAAAGCAAATGAACTCATAAAACTCCTAAAACTAAATGAAAGCTTAGATGAAGATTTACGCATAAAAAGTTTGGCATAAAACTAAATATATAAAGAAAATGATTAAAATTTATATAGTAAATTACGTTTTGTGGAAATACTCCGATGGAACTTATTATAAATTTTTTATATTATAGAAAAGTGTTAGTAGAAAATATACGTACGTATATGTATATGTTTACACTACACAGATAACTAAACACAAACGTTGCATGCATGCTGACTCTGTATAGCAACAAACATATATTATTTTAATTGGTAAGAGAGAGCTTCGATTTAAACCAATTTGTGTAAAAAAAAATTTCTGAATTTGCGACAGCTGCTTACATAAATCATGCGCTTATTTACAAAACAATTAGAAAGTGTTCTTCTTTGTTTTTTGTTGTTGTTTTTGTTGTTCATTGAATATCGGGCGGTTAGTGTTTTATTTGTTTGTTTCTTTGTTTTTTTGTTTTCTTTTTTTTTTTTATTATTATTATTCAGATAATGTTTCCGCTTGAAAAGCCTTAATGATTCTGATCAAAACGAGGATTCTTTTCATTAGTCCTTTGTTCCTGCTTATAATAATATTTTATTTAAAAGGCTTGGGGTAGTGCAATTTAATTTTAATTATTGTTTTAAAGATTGTTTTTTATTTATATTATTATTATTATTATTTTTTTTTTTTGTTATTTATTTATTTATTTATTATTCCTTTTTTGCTTTTGATAGTTTAATTATCTGCTGAATTTGTGGGTGAATTCAAACCGGATGTTGTGTTATTATCGTTAAGGCCTTCATTGAAACTGCTTACAGAGCCCGAACGGGAAGTAGATACTTTTGTCTATATGTGTTAAAAAAAAAAAAAAAAAAAAAAACAGAAAATATGGGGAAAACAAACAGGAAAAGAACGATAGAAGAAAGAACAAACGAAAATATTTGTAGTAAACATACATTGTTAGTTTTCCATTTTGAAACACAAAATAAAATGAAATGTAATTGAAATGAATTAAATTTGCTTAATTACAAATAAATGATATGAGATATATATCAGTCAGCGTTCAGTGAATCTTCTTTCTACTCTACACCACTGCAGGATTCAAATATTTAACGTATCATTAAAAAACTTTCCAAGACTTATACCATAAACCTATGAATTAATTTATTATCCCATAAATAAATTTCGGTTTGGATTAGATTGATAGATAGGTTTATGTACAAAGTTTTTATATATATGATCATCAAAGTTAAACTTTATTGCATTCCTTTTATTTAAGATTTTGCAATTTGAAAAACTTTGGGCAGAAGTGGCCAACAGAAAATATTTTCTTATACATTCCTTACGAAAAGTACTGTCTCTACGTGGTCTAAGTCAATGGTTGACGAAGGCATCATACTTTACCTAAGGTAGTATTAACACCATGCCAAGAGAGAAGAAGAGAAGAAGAACTAGGTTCAAAGATATCGCTATCTCTATCCAATCTCTTAAAAGGCTGGTGTCCCTTCGTTGTGCAAGTTAGTAGTGGAGAAAGGTAACATAATTGATTGTTGCTAGTATCAATACCATGCTAAAGAAGAAAAAGTATAGAGGATGGTACGTCTTTCTGGCCTAAATCCATACTTAAGCTCTCATAATTCAAGTTTAGTATATATAGTGTTGAAGTATCGTTTCAAGTGATAACGAAAAAATCAAAGAAAAGTCGCTATACAACCCTTAAGAAAAACGGTTTCCCATCGCTATCCAAGTCAGTAACTGACGGAAATATTTTCTATTTTTTTTATTTTTTATGAGTAATCAAATGAGGTGGAAAGGGAAAAAAACAGGGAAGTGGTGGTCGCATTGGGTCTGCGTCCAGTCGACATGCCTTTACTAATTAAGCACTCATTAGGTAGCTTCGACCAAAGAAAACCCTACCGACTCGGCCACTCAGACGAATTGTGACTTAGCTTTGCTACTGTTAATGGCAAATCAAAGAAAGACAGATAGTTTCCGAAATATTCCTGTAAAGCTTGTTGCACGGCAAAAGAAACGGTGCCATTTAAATGAAAACCTGAAAGGGAAAGGAGCCGGATAATCTTTTTTTAAGAACATTAGCAGCATTCATTTCATTTTTGATAATTTTGGTCCTCTTGCTTAACACATAATCGTAACTTATTCTTCGAAGAAGGCAGCCTTTAAAAACTAATCTAAGGAATTTATTCCGACTGATATTTGTTTTAACTTCAATACGAAATTTTCAAGAAAATATATGAACTGCAATCCCAATCAATACAGAAAGGAATTCATTTATCTCTCAATGCGTTGCTATCGAATACCCACCCAGTGGTATAGAATAGATAAAGAAGCAGGAAATTTTATGCAAAATACTTGATTTAAAACATTCAGTGTACAGTGTACAGAGTGTGTGTGTAAGTGAAAGAAAGAAAGAGATAAAAGAAGAAAAAATGTCCGTTGTATACACACACACACACAGCTTAATTAAAAAATTTAATTTTTTTTAAAAAAAAGTTAATAAATTCACAAAAAAAATAAATATATATAAATATTTGAGTAGTTACCGCATGAGATCGGCATAAAAAATTGTTGTGTTCATAGCTTACTTTAACGTTCTCATAGGCTGAACCCACTTTTTCCTCAATAGATCTCATCGATTCGGAATTTTTCATTTGTGTAAATTTCGATGAAATACCGCTTGTGATGCTGCCAAAAACCGAGGCAGTTTTTTCCGAAGTCGATTTCAATACAGACTCAGTGCGTTGAAATCTAAAAAAAAGGATTGATATAAAATTAACAAAATTAAAAAATTATTTTATTGTAATGAAAATTATAAATACTGTTATTGTAACTACTACTGTTCCTTGGTTACTTGTACGAGTTTTTTTTTTTTTTTTTTTTTTTTTTTTTGTTTGCATTAAATGAATGGTTAAAATAAAGAAAATTTAATAAATAAATGTTAAATGTCTATTCTGTTGCTGTTGTTAGTTTAAGTTTGGTAATAGTTTCAAGCCAATTACTTACATGGGAGCATCATGAACTGCTTTTGTAAAATTACCAACACTTTGCTCAACAGTTTGAAAACTTAAAAAATAAAATTTGAAAAATTTTTTAACAAATAATAAATAAAATCACGCAAAAATGATAACACGAAACACAAATGCATAAAAGTTAAAAATCAATTAAAGAAGAAATAAGTAATAAAGCTACGGTTATTTATATATTAATCTATGTAATTTACTTTAAGACAATTTTATCAAAATTTTTGTAATTCATCCTTGAAATAAATTGAAAATGACGATTTTTAACTCTTTTTTTTCAACTTTTCAACAATTCCAATGAATGATTAGGCAAAAAGTTTAAAGTGATATCTGTTTGGGTCGTTGATCTGCTATGTGTCGAATTTATTCAGGTCAACGACTTGATTTTATATTAAATCTATATGATTGACCTAAAAATCGTATAAGGAAAGTTTTGTTCTTCCATCTTAATGACTAAATCACTTCAAAAATGAGGCCCTTTCTTTGATTCTTTCTTCTTCTTCTTCTCTTCGTTGAATACAATTCAAACTGATTGCTTGATTTTGCTTTGCTAGTAGAATAAATTTTACTATTGTAGGTTTAGTATGAATGACAGAAAAATACTTTAGAATTATACGTCGGATCGATGGATAGTCATTTTGATTGCACTGAGAAATTTAAGAAAATATTTCTTAAATTTGTGCAATTAATTAATTACTTATAGCCCACAGTACTTGCAGTAGGAGGGTGTATTAAATTCATATGAATCTATGCAATATCCAGAAGTAGATAGACCGACCTTTTATTATACCGAAAAAGATTCTGAATCGATCTAAGTTTGTCCGTCCATCTGTCCGTCTTTTTATTTTTGTGTTCAACCTATGGGTTGCAATTTTTGGGATATTTTGATGCAATTTGATACACCGACCGGTTCGGATCGGATCACTTCATCGATAACAACCCACCTATACCCCATTTTATTTTAAAAAGTGGTTATAGGAATAATTGTATTGAACGGAGTGATATAGGGCATATAATATCTGTAATTTTTTGTAACCACATATTAATTATTATTTGTTTGGCCTTAATTTTGGAGCGCGATTGATTTCTGCTCATTTTTCCTTTTCTTTTCTTCTATTTGTTTGTTCGTTGTCGTACTTTATACTTTCGAATACTTTCTATTTTATTATGCCCAGCACTGCTTATGGTACACAACACTCAGAGGGACTTTAGACAGAGCCCTCTTTTTTTATACCGATTTGTTCAGAATCACTTGTAAGCCTATCTGTCCGTCTTCTACTTTGTGTTCAAGTTATAAGTTGCAAATTTTAGTAGACTGTCTTGTTTTAAGCCAAGCGCGAACACCATTTTTACAACCACCTCCCATATAATATCTTATATTGAAAAATCGTTATATGAATAACTGTATTAAGTTAAGTGGTATTAAGGTCGTGGTCCACTATAGTGTCTTTGCTTGTTTGTTTGTAGATTTTACATTTGTTGCAGCATTACGCTTCTTCATAGTAGAAATATATTCGACAAGAATTCTCTATAGTCTGGTATCCAGATTAGTAAGTCTGCAGACAATTCAAATTTACAAGTCAGAATTAGAATCTTAAACTATTCGCAAAAGTATTTGGCGGTTATAAGAATAATCAAAATGTTCGTTTGAATGTTACACAAAAAATTGGCACTTACACGCTACTTTCTTTAACTGATTTCAATCCTTGATTCATGTCATCAGTTATTTCTTTCCAAACAGTTATGCCTAATTTACGCTTCAAATCAGAAGCATGACGTGTTTTCGAAGCCAGTACAGTACGCAACGTATTGATCTCTTCCTCAACACGTGCTAGTTCCTAAATAAATAATTTAATTTCAAAATAAATTATTTTCGAAAACAAATTTTTTTTAAATACATTTTTATACATACTTGACTCCATTCAGCCCTTTGTTTTTCTTGTTCTTCTACCGTCAGCGCAGCGAATTCAGCAGCTATGTCAGCCGAGGCTACGGACGCGGCTGGTGAAGACGCACCTGAATGTTTAGCTGAATTATCTAAAGAGAACATATTAGGTTTTAGCATTTTCGAAATGTTCCATAATTTTTTGTTCATTAAAAAAAAAAAAAAAATAAAATAAAACTTTTATACACTTATCATCGACTATACTTACACACCACTGAAATATTTGAAAATATTAGCAAGCATTTCGATCATAAGAAAGAGAGAATAAAGAAGGAAAACAAGAAAAAAAAAATCTTCTATTAAAATATAGAATCGGAGGAGAGGCTTGGCACGTAAATAAAAACAAACCAAACGAAAAAAAAAAAAAATCGAAGAACACAAGATTTAATTGTCAATGTAAAAATATCACTTGTTGCCTCGATGAAGTGCATAAATTATGTTTAGAGAATTTTATACCTTTTTTGCAAACCACAACATAATCTTTTCTTTTTCTTTCCATTAACGAAAGATATATTACAGCCTTGAAGTATTTGCATAACACTGTTATACTACCCTCTCCTATTAGTCTCGATTGCACAAAATCTGGCCAATTGGTGTTTCGCGACGTAGTTATTATTATTACTGTTGCGTAACCAACTTGTTATTCAACCTATCAACCATCTAACACGAGTATACTCGTCGAAATCAGATACAAAATTTGAGATAGACAAAATTCTATTTTGTATAATAATCAAAAGTCGGGTTTTAGAAGAACTAACCTACCAACTAGCTTCCATGAATGCAACATATTCTGCTTCTGACGTTGGTGCAACAACAGTTTGTTTATTATTTCTACAGTACCTAATGCCCAATTTGCTACATCTGCCGTGCCAAGCTACAGGCCTAGTAAGTTTTAATTTCAAATTGACCGATAATGGAAACGGACCCGTCTTGACTCTTCTCTCTTAGGTAATCTTACAGGATTCTATTTCATTGTATGTATGCTTTAGAGCTTTTATGACAGACTTTGATCTAATGAATACAACAGAAGGCCTTTTAATGTAATAAGTCTGTCGTTCTAGCAAATGGGGCTTTGCATCAGACATAGAGAACGATTTAATTCCTCAAGCGACACCTTCCCTTATGTCTCCACGTAGATGGGCTTCAAGGTTGTGAAGTGGATACACTCGTTGAATACGAACACTCTTATTACAATCAATATAGCTGGTGGCGCTTACGTGCTTGTTCACGTCTCCTAGTAGTCAATACCTTACCTCTCCAAAGTTCCTTTTAACTACTAATCTATCGCCACATATATCAGAGGCATTTCATGTAAAAAGTTAATAATTAAGAAAAGGGAAATTTTCTATAAAATTTAATCTCAAATAAGCAAATATAAAACTAAATATTTCAAGGTCTTTCATCCTCAATAAATAGTTGAAGACTAAAAGAGAACCGTAACTGGCTCTAGGGCTTAACGTTGAGATCTGCTTGGAAAATGCTTAAACCTCGAACTGTTTGCGCTTTAAATACTTGGCTTCAATTGCCGCTCCTCGTACAAAGGGACATTTGGGTGGCCAACAGTAATCGCTCCCCAAACTACTACAAACTACCCCCAAAGCAAGACAGTGCTTACGTAATATCCCATTATTTAATATTCTTGCGGTTCTTCTCACTTTTATATGCAATCCCACAATAGTCACTCTGGAAACAGATTTCCTTTCCAATTTTTCATTCATAAAGGCAAAAGTCTAATTAGAAGAAAAACAAGTGAAAACATTATAGTGAGACACGGCCCATCGTTAAATACCCTACGCCACTTCGGTTAGTGCAGTTATTGATATAAAAGGCATGGTCGAAAAAGTGATGCGATCGGAACCGTTTTCAATGACAGCGTACGTCCATGGATCAAAATGTGTCAATATACCAAATTTCGTCAATATGTAACGAATATTGTCACCCGTAAGTTGAAAACAAGAAAGATAGACAGATGGACAGACAGGCAGGCCAAGATCGATTCGGAACAAAAGTTGACTCCATCTTCTGGATTTCGGCACATACTTAATATGCACTTGGACACCACAACAGGTGTTTTGAAGAGTAAAAATTCTTTCTAGCATTTGCTTAAATTTTAAATTTCCTTTAATTATTATTATTATTATTATTATTGTTATTAGTCTTTTCTAATTACCTTTATTATTGTAGTTTGTAGAACCAATGTTTAGGAAGCGCTTATAATTTTCATTACTTGATATTTTAGCTAAATAAGGTTTTGAGAAATCAATAAAAGTAACTTTAACATCACGCATTGTTTGCTTGGTGAAGAATTTTAAACGAAAACGTTTTGCTATCGACATCGATGGCGTTTGATTGGCTAATTTTGCGGCAATAAATTCAGTTTCTACAGCTTGTAATTCAAGCTGATTGGTATAATCGGAGTCTACATCGTAAAAGATTTGTTCAAGTGTTAAATTGCGTAAATATAAATCAGTTTCTTCAGTCCAATCGAGATTATTATCAATAACGTTAGCAATGGCATCAGCTGTTCTATTACCTATTATAGGCGAATGATGGCTAAACGATGGAAGAGTATCTAAAGATGGTGTTTGTATATCCTCGAATTTCGGTATATATGGATCTTCAATGAATTCCAAGCTAAGCGGTTCGGAATCGGACATACTGTCATGTATAAAATGATTGCAATATGTTGTTTGCTGCTTCGTTTAATTTAATTAATAAATTTATTTTGTTATTTTTGTTATTTGACTTTTTTCGTTGCCCAATAATAATGGATCTGAAATGATTTTGCCGTTGCTGAGACGACGGTGATGTTGTTGAGGTTTTGTTTGTGTTGTCTGCTACCACTGGTTTTTGGTTTCTTTTCAATTTCAGCTGCTTCTGCTTTGAAGCGTAAAATTCTCTAACTAAACTTTCTAAACCGATCATGCTACATATACTGTAGTAATTATTAACATAATGCTTCAAACAAGCAAAACGTATGCGCATGTGCAGCGAAAGTAATAATACTTTCAATTTATTTATTTAATCTTTTTGGTTAGTAAATCGTTTTGAAAGAATTTTTTTTCTTTGTCTTCTAACTGTTTTACTTCAAACCATTAAAATAGTTTTTTTTTTTGTTTTTTTCGCAATTATAAAAGAGAAGTTTACACTTATATTCATATTCGATAAAAAAATAAAATTGATTTTAAAAATCTATTATCTTCAAGAATTGAGTTTTATTTATAATTCACGTTCACGCTGCTTCGTTAGTTTGTGTCTGCGATTAACTAAAGTTAAAATCTAACTAACTAAGCATAGGTGGAGTATATGGCCTGATGAAGTTGGGAGAGAGAGCAATAAATTTGAAAAAGCAGTGTTTCCCAAACATTTAAGAATCTTCATTATTTACTTCATTTGGTTTACTTTTTTAATAGAAATTTCCAATTTTTCGAAGATCAACAACCAATTGCGATTTGTTTTGATCTTTGGTATCATACTTAGGTTCTTGCTTTGCAGATCAATTTGGAAAATCATTTCGCGTTCACCTATATGTCAATATTAATCAGATCATAATAGTCTGCATTCAACAGATATGAAGGAGAGGCATCTGCTCTCTTATATATTAAACATTGCTACTGAAAATAATACATGGTACACACGACAATGATCGCCTAAGCTTCGCCTACAAGTCGACAATTCATCTCACAAAATTATGATATCAATTTACCTGATGCTGTTATATGACAAGACTAGGCCACGCTTTTCTCAAACTACAGGTGCATTAAAGTTTCCATAAGGAATTTCGTTACGGCTTATGGCACCCGAAAGGTCGACGTTATATATTCGTCTATGTATGTCGTTGTACAAGAATGTATTAAGTTTGTGCAGGTGTATATATGTAAGATCAGAAAAGATTGAAAGAATACCTTCTGTTGTACCGATCGATTTGACGAATTACTTTGCTAAAATGATCTAAGCTTGTCTGTCTGTCTGTCCCTTTGATATTTGTTCATGTATTTTTGAGTTCAACCCAAATTTTTGAAGAAATTTGAGACACTGACTTGCTTTGATGAAAGGACGAACGCTATTAAAAATGATCCGGATCGAAATTGTTTTTTGGGAAATATAATGTTTATTACTTGTTGTTTGTATACCCACCACTGAAGGATGGGGATTTGGTTTTTTTTTTGTTTCAAAAGAAAGCCTATAAAGCAAATTCTAAAACGATTAATCCATGTCTGTTTGTCTGTGTGGTCGCATTCTCCTGATCGCAAAAATGTAGATATCGACTTCAAACTTGTTTGGTAGTGAAAATGAGCTAAATTGATTAGAGCAGAACAGTGCCCACAGTGGAGAATAAACTGAACGCAAGTCCATCTTTCTTAACGAAAAGTTGCGGGTCTTTGTCCGTTATTCAGACATTATAAAAAAGTTTGAATGCTGATAATTTCCACTCTAGTCTTTACATGTAAAAATGAAAAAAATCGGCCATGCCCACACAATATTACAAAAGATTAAATTTTATTTTTTTTTTTCATATTTTCGAGATTTTATGCTTATTTATCATAAGGCAAACAAGGCAGAATGTTCAAAACTACGTTGTACATACCTCAAATGAAGATAGATTATCGGACTCTAAGAAGAATAGGTTATTCCTCAATGCCCTGGGGGATTAATATATTAATTTTGATAACACACGCAGCGATATGGGTATCAAATAAAAGAACTTGGAGAGTAGAATGCGAAAAGCCTAGTGTTGGGTATGCGATAGTTGGCCCCCGCCGATAATATAATATTCTTACTCTGTGTGGGCAAACTGCATAAGCTTCCCTTTCGTATTATAATTTTATGAAAAACAATAAAGAAAATAAACATTTCACGCGTTTACATAGCGAAGTATGGCAAACGGTATTTTGCTTACGAAGCACAAAAGCAGTTTGGGAACTGATTCAAGCAGGTTTAAACATCACTAAACAAGTTGAGGCGCAGCGTTTACCACTTTTCTTATTTTGCTTTAGCTCTCATAAAATTATCGTGTGGCCGTAATAAAACCTAAAAAGTCCCTCTTCCATCTTTAAGAAATATAGTAAAAGCAATTTTTGGTATCGATAGAAGAGTTGGGGATATAAGGTATAAAACAGTGAAGAGAGAAAAAAAAAAACCAAAATTATTGGTAAATTTGTTTGTGTAACAAAATTTGAGAAAAGATCAAATTTAGACTCAATATACGAGTAACGATGATGGTCGCTGCAAAAACAAAAAAGTAAAGAAAAAGGAAAAGGAAAAAGACTACGCAAACACTTATATCTTCATATATATAATATACAGAATAATATATAGAACAAGAATCGCAAGCGTATACAATTTAAAGAACTTAAATTAAAAATATATTTATTTTATAATAAATTATTGAATATTTTCTTTGCAAATATTAAACATAAATGATTTGTTTTGTATGCAATTATACTGACTAGTTTCTGGTCATTGTTACGTCTCAAGCGTCTAAACTGTCAATGACTAATTAAATTTATAAATATTTTTGCAAAATTTTTATGTTCGTGTGCATATATCTGGAATATATATATATATATATATATATATATAAGGAAATAATCAAGAAAACATTTTAAGTTTTCATGCGAAACATTGTTGTTAACGGTCATGGTCAAACACTTACAAGGCAATATACAATAAAATGCATATACGTCTAAATATGTGCAGAAAGAAGACACATTTCTCCCTTCACTTTTCGCCTTCAAAAATTTTCATTAGGGAAATCCGAGCACCATCTAAAACAGGGTCAAAGCGCAAGGCGATTTTAAACTTGACTAATTTTAAACGAAATCATACTTTAGCCAATAATGACCGATTATTCATTAAGTGATTTTGCTAATATTACATCACATAACAAAATTTATGGTTGCAGACATTGTAACGAATTCTCCCAAAATGTTATTAACGTTATATAATAACCATACCTTCAAGCGCTATAGTAGAAATCAAAAGCGGTTAGTATTTTTTAGGAATTTTAGAGAATTTCCCCACCAGATGTTAAAGCTTCTGCTAAATTACTGACTATAACTTATGTGGCCAGTCTTAAGTCTTGCTTGAATCATAACGCGCATCAGCGGAAGTTGGCCGAATACAAGTCGAGTAAAAACGTTTGCAATAGCCAGACGAAGGCCTATAAAATAACAAACTGTGAATCGATCTAGACACATCTGTCTGTCCGTCTATGCAAATGTCTGTGATAAATCTATACTAACATATGCGTTTCGAATTTGGCAAATATGAAAATTCTCGCACCCATATTAGCACTGAAAATGGTCCAAATTAATTAAAGGTCACACACGTACAATATAACTAACTGCGTTCTAGGTTTCTTTTGCTCACTAATCATAAGGAATAATAGGCACAAATTTTCGCGGATGACTTGGCAGAAATGGGTAAAATCGTCTCCGCCTACTCGTTTAAATTTTTTCGTCTTTTATGAAATATCTTTAGGAAAAAATGCTCGGAAAAAAATATTTATTCACTTTCTTATTTATTCTTAATCTTCGATCGGGATCTAAGGTGAATATTCAAATAAGTTTTGATAATTTGTTATGACAACGTGCAGTGTCTATACACATATATATATATATATATATATATATATATATATATAACAAAA